TATTTTTCTTTTTTTCAAAATCTTTTCCGGCGGCAATTGCGATTTTTTCTTCTTTTTGGTCAGGTGTTTTCTTTCGTAATATTGATTTTTAAGGATATCGATTTCTTTAACTCGTTTTCTCAAGTTTTTTTTCTTCTCATTTTTGAAGTAACCCATTTCAACTTGTTTCTTCAATTTTTTGCTACCCTTTCAATTATAAATCATATAGACCATCTAGAGTCTTTTCTTTTATTGCCATTCTAATTACTATGGCATCATATTGTTTCACTTGTTGATGTGGGAGGAAAGAAAACATCTATGAAAAACTTCGCATACACATAATCAGAGGATCCGATAGAAAAAGACAACTATTGATTGTCACAATAATAGATAAAATAAAGTCATGATCATTAACATGTTTCATGACGTTTAAATACATCTGTCAGACATTGATATATATTTTCGAATTTTTGGTGACGTACTCTTTATGTTATTATCATGGTATTGCTCAAATGTTTTGTTTGGATAGAAAGTGAATGACGCTTATGCGTAGGAGAGACTATTTTGCAGATTTCCTTGCACTTGCCCGTTTCTACGTGTAAATTGTCAATCGTTGTTTTGATTATCGTCAATGCATACATTGATATCTCTATTATCAATATTATATCGATGAAAATATTTTCAAGGAGAAAAGCACATACTATATAATTTTTGTTGTTTATTCTGTCTGATGACAAGTAGTAGCAATAACAAAAAATAACCATGATGGGAAAAAAATAATGACTACCCGTCTGTCGTTCTACTTTGCTCCAAAGTAAATATGAGTACGTCTGGCATTGATACACTGACACATCCATTTCTGCTTCCTTTTTTTCTTCCTATACCGCTCTCCAAATTGTACTGATGGAGTGAAGCCAACGTTCATTTATTTAAATGCAAATGTTGCCGTTGGTTGGTATAATTTCCCTAGAGAGAAAAAACACGAGAGAAAATATGTATGTGTGTGCGTGCGTATATGAATTTGTCTTTTACATTTACACGATGAGATCGAAGTCGTTACGTGTAGGGAAGAAACGGCAGCATAGAAGATAATTATAATTGTATTAGCTTTGGGAATTGTATGTATATATACGTATATGTTTGGCAATGATTGAGAATAACTATTAGTCCTAAAAGTTTTTTTCGTCTTCCATTTACATTAATTAGAAATAATTCACGTTTAAATCAAATAAAATTTTCCTTACATGTCTCTTTCTAAATATCAATTGATCTATATATTTATTATTTTTCAGGTTACAAGATAATAGGAAAATATGTATATCATTATAACATGCAACATTACTGTGAAGTGATCTTTCCACATGTGTAAAAAAATATTGTTGTCCTTGCCGTTTCACCTGCTAAGTAATATGTTTATCACGGAAAGATATATCAGTCGAATACGTCAGGATGTCTCGATAAAAGATTACAATGTAACCTTGAGTCATGAATAAATAAGATGACCAAACGTTCTTAGATTTTCAATGTAAGATAATTGTTCGTTTCTTTTTATTTTATTGTCATATAACTATCGAATATCTTAATCAATACTTTATTCGTTTTTTTTCTCTCCCGAAAGTAATCGATTACAAAACATTGAAATATGAAACAAAAGTATTGTCAATATCGATTCTCATAGTATCTGTCTGTGTATGCATACAATCCAATTTTATGTTTATGTTTGTATTGGTGTTCGCGATGGTAATGACAAGAAGTTTTTTTTCTTTCTTGACGAGTCAAGTTTTTTTTCATTGAAGATCTGTATTCTCTTAGCATGATGTTGTACTATGGTTTCAGCACTTTTCATCTCCGTTAATTCCATGCAGCCTATTGAGAAAAAAATGCATATGAAACCTAAGAAGCACCTTTGTGTATTGTCCATACATATTCTGACTCTTGAATGAAAAAGAAAGAAAAAATCAATGAAAAGAAGTTGTTTTCATTTTGATGCGAAAGTTTTTTTCCTCTATTTTGACATGCAGAAATGCAAACAATTCTCTGGTGTATGTTTCCATGTTTCATGAAGTATGTACCTGTACAAATGTCCCCAGAAAAAGGCCACATCATTATCGTTTTAAATCCTTTCTATTCCATTGTTACAATAACTGATTTATCGCAATTAAAGTAGCTTGCACAGTAAAAAAAGTCATTTCTTTGGATAAACTAATACTACTACTACTTCATTCATGACATAGAGTAAGAATTTTTTTCTTTACTTTCATTCGTAGAGAGTAACTTATCGTTGTTCCATTACATGAATTCAAGGTAGTAAATAATGTTGACATGCAAAATATTATAATAAGATCATCAATCACACACACAGACACACTTAAATGAATGCCAGAATACATATTCCTTCATGAAATACTCACCGTTACAATGACAAAAAAAGATAAAGTGTCGCTTATTGAACAACGACTTCTATACACTGTCACTAGTTAATATAAAGTAAAAAGAGTGCTTGAAGGCATCTCAAGATTGAGTGAGTAAGTGTATGAGTAATTTAAAATAAGTGATGAAAAAGAATTTTCTTTCATTTAGAAATAGCTAAAGAGTAAGTTGCATAGAATATCGACAACAAAATCGATTGATACTTTGTCGTGTGAACAGTTTTCGTTTTTCTTTTGTTTCGTTTATGAAAATAATTCTCGTAGTTTAATTGTTCTTGTTTTTTCATGAACAAATAGTAATCATAATAGTCTATAAAATCATTTTTTATTTGTCATCACCTTTCATGATTATGTTTACTTGTCGTATTCCATATTTTCCCTCTCTTTGTCATTAAAAGTATCATCTTAATTCAAGAGTACATATACATTTACTAGACTCTGTAAACATCGAATAACTTCTATCGTACCAAAGTTTCATTCATTCATACATATCGTGTTGCTTTCTCGTTAGTTGTCTTTCATTATTGTCTATTTGGCCAATAGCCAAATTATAGTGTATTGCGATAGGAAAGAGAAGCAAGGCTAAGAAAAAGAAGACAAAGTTCATTGATTTGTACTTGTATGTTCTCTCATTCATCTTGAATCATTTTCTTTTATTTAGTTATTTATTTATTTATTTATTTATTCATTCATTCTGCGCGTGCAACAAAGTAAATCTTTAATACTACGATGAATCGTAGTAGCAATACAATAGTGAACAAGAATTTCTATGGTAAGCATGAACAATATAGATTCGTATAGATAACAACGATTGCTGTTGATAGGGATACAGACAAGCATCCTACATTTTGGACACTAACTAAATGAAGTCAGATGAGTGTCGACAAATGCAATACACTTCGCTTTCCCACAATATTCATGATGATACTTGAGAGGCACTACAACCATATTCTTGTAGAAGATAGAAATTACAAGGATGAAAAATTTGTCCGTAAATACATACCATCAATATTGATAACATGTATTTTATATACAAAAAAAAAGCAATCTGCTATAAATCACTCGTATATGTCTGAGTCTGGATCTATGCCAACACAGATATTGATCTACCTTGACTTGTTCTTTGCATTCACCATTGATGCGCCAAGAATGAGAGCGAACATTTTCTCACGATCTCGCATTGTTTCTCTTTCAACGCGCGAGCGTAAGCGTAAGCGTGCGCGTGAGCGCTCTCACATACACACGCATATATATATATATATATATAAACCAACAGACACGGTGTGATGAGGACGGGCAAGTGTGAGCATCTATTTCATTTTATTTGTAAACGTGAAAGACATTGAAAAAGAATCGATTTATCTTCTTCGTTTTCTCCTCCTCCTCTTCTTCTTGCCATACACACGTTCATACGGTCAGATAAGAACAATAATTCAACTGAACTTTTAAATTGCAGCAGAAAACAACAATATATTAGTAGCTCCTTTTTCGAATGTCTATCAGATTCCAATCTAGCTACTATTTTTTGGAATCAAATAACGTTATATTTTGAATGAAATTAAATACCATATTTATTATGAGTCACTAAGAATAATTTCTGTTGGTATGTAAAAAAAAAGGTGAAGCTTTTCCCTTTTCTTTACAGTTTCTTTGACCTTTGATTATTATTTTTTTTATTATGCTTGTTCATACTTTATCATTTATGTATGTACACTCCATCATATAGGGGTAACTGAGGGCATTTGAATTCAGGGAAAAAAAGAGAAAAACGCAATATAAGTTTCGATTTAAATAAAGGTACTAGATGACTGTCGAGACGACTAGACAGATATAAAGAAATGTCTATTCAATTCTGAATTGGTGCCTTGAATCATCGATACATGTAACTGTTCATATAGAAGAACCAAAAGAAAAAAGAAAAAAGAAAAGATAACCGAGAGTCGATGATGTATACTGTCAGTTATCTATTATTATCATCATATCATTTTCATTTGATTTGACCCTGTACGCCTATCGTATTATAAAGACTAGAAGTGGGGGGAAAAAAACTTTTTTTTTTATCTTTATGTATAAAGTTATTGTTCTTGTGTAAAGATGAATGAAGAATCATCCGAATCGTATGTAACTTTGTGAGTGGGTGATGACAAGAAAAGTGCACACAGAGGAAAGCAGTTGCGAGAAAAGAGGGTGATGGACTCGCTCTGTTTTTCTTTCTTGCTTGCTTCTATATTATTTTATGACGATGAAGAAAAAGAACACGAGAAAAAAGAAATAGAAAAAGAAAAAGAACACGGAGTCTTATTCTATTTTCTTTTATTTCGGTGAAGGCGCGCGCTCGCCCGCCCGCACATACACACACACGGAGCCGATTGCAAAGGCGAGACACATACGCATACTGAATGGGGTAGATGTAGTATGCTCGTGAGTATACGTTGACGTGTGCATATATGAGTGCATACATTGTCTGTAGTGAAGGAAAAGAAAAAGAATAAAAAAAAAATTAAGATTACAAAATTTTTTTATTGTTTTTTTCTCGTTGTAGCATTAAATAATCATCTGAAAACAACAATAACGACGACGTCAAACAATTTTATGTGTCAACGCACTACAATAAAAAGTAGTGAAGATAGAGAAACAATTAAAATGTCTCCTAATGATTATACAATGACAACAAATAATCATCCTAATCATTCTGATCGTATTAATGATCGAACTTTATCCATTGAAAATAATTCCAATACGAAATATTTCGTTGATCTATATACAGCAGCATTACATTTAAGGTAAAGACATTATTCGAAAAGCATTTAGTCTGCTCTATTAATGAACGTATATCTTAAAAGCTGATTTTTGTTGTTTGTTAATCGATGAGCAAGGCATATCTTTGTTTCTCATGGGAGTTGTCTAAATATACACATAGATATCTCATTTCATTATTTACATTACTAAACATATGTGTAGCAATTAACCTCATTTTGTGTTTCTTTCTTTTTAGACAAAGAATGCGAGAAGAAAATTTAATCCATCGTTCATATTCAGCTTATTTAAATGATAAAAACAGTCAACGTTCATTGTTTCATAATTGTTTTCATTCGTATGAAGCAATTGATTGGCTTATAAAGAAACAACTATGTAAAACTATTTATGATGGTGTTGAAATATTTCAAGTTTTAGAAAAATTAAAAGTTATTCATCATGGTATGAGGTTTTTGGCAAAATGCCAGAAGAAAATTTTCTTTTCTTCTGCTTCTTCTACTTCCATTCATTATTAATTTTGCATGTCTATGCGGAAGCGCAAGCGGATAATTGCTTTTCTTCCTTCCTGCAGTAGCTAGTTCGACCGCCTGCCTTAAAAGATTGTCAGAAAGAACGGAAAAAATTTAGGTTACCATAAACTGGTTGGCTCTAAATAACGAAAACAGTATTACGTCGTTTTGTTTTTGTGTACAACAGATAAAGAATATTGATAGATAGTTAGAAAAAAATAGAATGTATTGATGTTGAACTCAATTGTAGAATGATATTATTTTCCGTTTTGTTTCATAGTTTGTGATCTAAATGAATTTGAATATCCATCATCGGGATCGTCTTCTATTAGTAATGTGAAATATTTATATCGTTTTCGTCTTGATGATGGCACCGCTGATAGTAATCGCTCGTTTCAACAATTTGCTTCTATTTATGAAACATACACTAGGTAAGTTTTCTAACAAACTTTTTCTATTTATTTTGGATAAAAATTAAAAAATAAAACAATGGCCTTTTAGTTTGTTTACACTTGATAAAAGTCAATGTCGCGGCGTAAATTTACAACAACAAGTTCCGCTAACAGATCCATATAGTGAACAACCTGGCGTAGTACTCAAAGGTGATAATTTAGCTCGCATGCTTGCATTACGTAGTGGTGTAAATATGCAAAATGTTGAACGTCTCGCTGATGATATGATTATGTATGGCCTTGTTAAATTTGGTAAATTTTAATTTTTTTTAAATAATAATTTTAACATTTTCGATTTTTTTCTTTTTATTCGTGTTCAGACGAATGTGATCAACAAACAGAATGTTGTTGTTCTTCAAATAAATTTCATGATGACAGTAATCATCAATATATATTAAGTAATACGCATCGTTTATTAGCTGATAAACGTCTTGATCTTATTGCTTTAATGCAATCTGATGCATTATTATTATCATCACCGATTCATCATTCACCACCATTAATAGGAATTCCATCAAATTCATTGGTTAGCGTATCATGTCGTAAGTTGAAAGACGAAGATGAACAAGAGTACCGAAATAAATCTTAAATATTAAATAATGCTTTTTTTTGTAGCTGATCGGTCACCATCAATAGATCATATGCAAACAAAGAATTCTCTTAATCGTACTTTAAGTAGCTATTATTGCAATGATCATTTAAACAAACTGTCACCGTTATTACCATCAAGCAACTGTTGCCATCACTATTATTCACGTATGTTGCCTTCAAATGAAACGATTCATTTATCATCGTTAATACAATCGACAAACATACGGCGCCATCCAATATCTGGACTAACAAGTAGTAATAGCTCATTGATAAGTGATGAACCACAAATGAATCGAAGAATATCTAATGGCGATGAACTTGATTGTACAACTAAACTAACGTGCACAGTAGCAAACAGTGAAGTATTTCGAAGAAAAAAATCGGCTAGTTTAAATTCACCAGCTAATTCAGGTAAGAAAATAAAACAAATATTTAAAAAATCATCATAGCTATTATGACTATGTATGTATAGAGAGTCGTCCAACAGTAGACGAACTGGAAAGATTAGAATTACCATGGTGTTGGAAAAGTTATTCAGTAAGGTTTAATTAAAATTTTCAAAATATAATCTTATTTAAATAAACTTCAATAGCTAAAACGTGATCGACGTGGTTATGGATTGATTCTTCATGGTGACGGACCGTGTTATATTGAAAGACTTGATCCGTATGGTTCTGCGTATACATCTGGAATACGAGTAAGAAAAATATACAGTTATCTTTGTTCAACTCAAATATTTCATTTTATTTTTCAAGATCAACGAATATATATATGCAATTGAAGGTGTTAACGTTCTACGTCGTTCTGGTAAAGAAGTTGAACGTTTACTATCAATGTTTGATAAATGTACAATATATACTGTATATAATCGTGATGATTTTTCACAACATTCAATTCCACCTAATGAATATCATTCAAATAAAATCTATCCATTAAAACAACCGTCTTCATTATCATCATCATTAAATGATTATAATAATAATGCAAATACATTATTAACAACATTAAATAATCATTCATCAAATCAGCAAGTGACTCTGTATTCATCATCGCCACAAAATCAACAAAATTCTTCACCATCATCATCAGTTGATGGTGCATCATCTTGTTCAATATCGCCGAAACAATTTGTGACAACAAATAAAAAGGGAACATTATCGAAACATTTTAATCTTTTTAAATTAAATTCTCGGTCTTGTTCAAATTCATCATCAATCAACACAATAAAATAATTATATATGCAAATATAATATATATATGTATATATATAATATGACACCTTTTTTTGGATCCGGTTTGTTCATTTATTTATGTGTGAGTTTATTTGTTAACTTCTCAGGTCATTTCTTTGGCTTAGTATGTGTATCTTTTTTTTGCACGCTTTTTTTTTGTAGGATGCGATGCGCTCAGCACATCTGTCTATATAATTTTATTTCTCGTGTAAATATTTTCGCTTGTCTTTTTATCTCTTTTTTTCTTTTGTTGAAACTCTTGATGTGATTATAAAAAAGAAACTTTGGACGACAAATTGAGAGAGAGAAAGAGATGAAAAAAGAAATAAAGTTTGAACTGAAACAATTCTAATTATTAATATTTAGTATTTCCTTCTGAAAGAAGGAAGAAAACAAATGATCAATATTGATAGTTTTCCGTTTAATCATTGTATGCAATCGATTAAATGATTTATGACGCTTCAGTACTTAAATGAATAAAATACTCATGTAGAAAATCTTATATTTTCCAAGTAACGTTATGCATTTCGCTAGAGAAATCACAATGTCAATAGAAAGTTATTGCAATGAAATTACGTAAGTAATTCTTTGCATTCTACTCAAATAAATTTCACTGTCATAAGATTATGTTGACACATGGTTTTGTATTATGATTCGTCTGTTGTGATAGTTGGATAAAAGAAAAACAATTTTAGACAGCTAGGTTAAAATTCGGTGTCATTCAATTACACATGACAGAGAATATTAACAGATACTAGCAAACTATATTTAAACTCAATGACTCGATGTGTAATGTCCTTGGTTTAATAGGATTGGTCATTGTCGGGGTCTGTTACTTTTAATTATCTCAGAAATACTAGATTACTCTTACAATGAAGTAAGCCGTAGGAAACTTTTGTTAATAAATTTTACAAGGTGCACTTTTAATGACAAGAAACATGATGCGTGTATACGATTTCATGTAAAATTTGAATAATTATTACAAGAAAAAAAGCGTTATTACTTTTAACAAAACTAATAATCTTTTTCTTTTCATCTTCTTTTCCTCACACAAATATTCATACTGAAAAATAAAGCACTCTGAAGAAACAAAAATAAAGATCGATATATTTTCTTAAGTTAATAATATTCACTGTCAATAAAAAAAACTTTTATTGTTTCTCCTTCAAAAATTTGAAAAAAGAAATAAGAAAAAACTAATTTTCTGAATTAATCGGTCGTTTAATGAGCCACTGCAAGCCATCAGTAAAACCTTCATGTCTTTTGATACTACACATACATAATTTAACTCGAGGATTTTCTTCATTGAGATATTTGTCAATTTGCAGATGATATCTTAAGTCACTTTCACTATATGCAGTGTCAACATTATCAATTTTATTCCCGAGAATCAATAGAGGTGCAAAATTCATATTATCATCATTTAATATTTGTAATAATTCATAACGTGCTTCAGGAATGCGTTGACGATTACTCGCATCAATCATGAAAATAAGACGTGTGGAAGCAAACATATAATCTCGCCATAAACGTCTTGCTTGTTGATGACCACCAACATCAGTTAGAGTTAAGGTAGTTGAGCCAATTTTAAATTCATGTTTTGATGGTTTACCAGTTGGTGGTGCTTGAATAAGACGATTTTGAGTTAAGCGACCAGTTAATGTCGTTTTGCCGGCATCATCTAAACCGACAAGAAGTATTGCATTCGAATTTGAGCCATTAGATGGCCACCAAAACCAAGTATACTCAGCAACTACATCTCGTATCCATGTTAACACAGACCACATATTTGCGTATGTCAATAATAATTAAAATCTTCATTGCATTTGGCTTTCATTTTATATGAAAATGTAATGTCGACGTGGTTGCGTTGTGCAACTTGTGCCACGTCGATAAATAAACAAGTATTCACCTTTTCCACGTTTTTCAAATGGCGTACGGCAATTGTAGAAACAAATACTTTTATGATAAAAAAAAGCAAGAATCACATATTATTGGTGTTCGTATTGTAAGAAGTCGCTGATATATTTCAATTTGTTACACATAATTCATGCTTTAGATTTATCATATCTATGAAAAGCTTTTCAGCGCAGCCTCGTTGGGGCTAAAATGTGGAACTCACATATTTCGGTCAGTTAGATACTGACCAAATAGAAGTTTTATTTTTTCAGTGTAGTGAGATTATATTTTGTTCAAAAACAAGATAATAAAACCTTTTTAACATTTGAAATTTATGGGATCTATCAATAGAAAATATTACTAGAGAGAACGTATAAAAAACTTTTTGTTTAGAATATGTCAGTATGCTGAAGTGTTTAGTGGTTTCATTGAGAAATATTGTGAATGATAATAGTTTAAACAGTATTTAGGATATAGTTATCAATATTGTTGAGAAATTTATATTTCTTTGTATTATCACGTGAAAAATTGATACATGTTTTCATAAACGAAAATTTGATAAAAGCTTCCCAGTGGATGAAAAAATTGCGAATTGTAAATACACTAAAGTGGACTCAAGCTCTAAAATAAGGTATTCGTGTGAGAAAAAAAAGGATTAAAATCTTCATCTGTTTATTGTAGGTGGTAGAAGTAACGAATGTAATAGTAGCATAAACTAGTTGCTAGCTTCTGTAGCGGTAGCATACTCTCGTTGTTAATGTCTGTAATAATAAAAAATATATAATACTGTCGTAACTATGGGCTATAATAATAAAAACGACAGATTTTGATGATTAATTAGAGATTAAATCCTAATTATCTTGATTTCTAATTAGTGAAATTAGATTTTAATTACTGATATGAGTAGTGGCGAACATAGCCAATCGATCTGTACAAAAATTTGATCTAATTAGTGCACCGAAGTGTTAGTTTTTTCATGTTTTATGTCTGTAATGGGGAGGAAGGGGGTGGGGTACAGGGGAGCCGCAAAAACCTAACAATTCAGCTTACACACTATTTTCTTCGAAAATATATGTGAGTTCCACAAAACTTGCCATAGATATCTGAAAAATAAAACGATTCAAATAAACATATTTCATAAAACAAATGATTTATTGATTAGTCTAAAAGTCTCGTATTAATGTTCACATAAAGTTATGAAATAAATTCATATTTATGTTTTCTTTTATGCTGAAGAATATAGAATAGAGTTCAAATATGAAAATAAAATTCTATTGAAGAAAGTAAGAATAACTTTCTATAGTTTACTCGTGTTATTGGAGACTAAAGGTTAATTTAAAACAATAAGATACTCATATGAATTAAGATCGTCAAGAAGAAAGAGACATCTTATTTATGATGACATAATAAGTATTGAAGTTTTCTATTGGTAATTAATCTACTGTTTATTTAAATTACAATTTTTTTAAAGCTTTTATACTAGAATAATTCTTTCCAAATGATTATGACTTTTATTGTCAACAATAATCACAATCAAATTAACTTCTTCGTCTTTTTTTCGAATCTTGATGACGTTTTCTACTATGACTACGACTGGATCGACGTTTTTTCCGAGATGATGATCGATGTTTATGTTTCTTGTGTTTCTTTTTATCTTTATCAAGTCTATAAATAAAAAAACGATTTATTTTGTTTGTGAATAAATGATTTTAAAAATATTAATTTACTCAGATTGATTCGAGTTCGATTGATGATTTATTTGTTCAATAAATTTCATTCCAGTATCGATCATATCACGAGCAATCTACATAAAGCTTATATTCAACTTTCATGGAAAATCAAGAAAAAATTACATCATAAAAATCTCGATTTGTTGTTCGAGTTACGTATTTCGGTCGACGTCGTTTTTGATCTCGTAATTCAACCGATTTATTCGATTGTTGCGAAATATTTGGTTCTATAACAATAATAATAAAAAGAAGAATATCAATAGTCCAATTTAACAAAATAGAAAAAGTCTAACCTCGTAACATAGTCGTTTGATTATCAAAGTTAGAATGTGATGTAGATGGCACAATACCCAAACTCAAAGCTTCATCATACACTGCTTGAGCAATTAAAGATCGTTCGGAAGGTGAAAATAAAATGGTTGTTTGTTCAGTGCTTAATGGAAGATCTTGTGAAAGAAAACAACAAATATTTTCTATTGCAATAGTTCTTTGCAACATGTCTAATCGGTTTTTATCTACTGAAAAGTAATTAGTTTATTAAAAATATTTTTTTAACAGCTCATGAAAACGATGTTTATAAGAATGATTAAACTAAAAGATATTAGTTGAAACACTTGCATACTTTTTTAGATAGTTGAATGATATTGACGTTTATCGAAAGCAATCAACTATTACTATTGGAATTGGGTGTTACTACATGTAATTTTATATTTAGAGTTTTTTTTATCTAACGTCGTTCCAGCGGTGTCCAAGAACTGAGAAATAGGAATTCCTAATCTACCGAGGAATTGTCACTGCCGCTGTGATAATTCTTAGAGAAAATGGGAATCAATCATTGGTTCCCTCACAGTTCTATCATTCACGAAAGTCGCGATATTACTTTTTTTTAAATAATTTGTGCACGGAACTATTGATTCTCACAATTTTGTAGATGAAAATGAGTGTAAGAGCAAATATTATTGTGAATATTCCATATTTTTACCTTTAGCATGCAATGAACTGTCGGGGAACTGAGGTGGAATCCTTAATTCTCAGTCATTGGACACCCCTCTGAAAAGAAAGGTAATATGTAATTAATCAAAAAGATGATTCTTTTCGATAGAGAAGAAAAATAGTAGTTAGAGAAGATACGCTCGAATGATGACCGAAAGGTACTGAATGAATGAATATAGGTATATCTCAGTGAAGAGAGATATACTCTACTCGTCTCTAATGATATACAAAAAGAGACGCTAATCGATTATTTTTTAAACGAAGAATAATTTTAGAAAAACAGTGCATCAAGAGACTTTCTCATAGTTTAGCAGTTTGAATCACGAAACAATGTTGGACTACCTGAAAAACTTCATACAGAAAACCTTTCTTTACATTCGTCAAAATTTTGCTCTTACTAAACTAACTTTAAAATAGCAACAGATCAATTACAAATGCTTACTGAGAAAGAAGATGTAATTTCAATTCTATCTGATTAGTTTTTACTCTCTGTAGCAATCTAAGGAGTGAACAAAAAACAAATTGGCTAAACACACAGTGCAATGACTGTCGCAACATAGTTTGTTACGGTAATTGAAAGATTATTTTTACTATTTGTAATTGCTATAGGTCGATGAAGAATATTACTGAGCGTTGATGGAGTAAATGAGATACTAGATTGATTGAACAATTGTTTTTCTTTTTCACATTCAGCTAATTCTTTCTACATATAAATACATAATTAACAAATCTTTTCTTAAAATAAAAATAAATTTTGCTTACTAGATATTCTTTTGAGAAACCTTCTTTTTTCAATTGACATTTTTCTACATGTTTTGATCCTATTGGAAATCGATGCCCTGGCTCAATTGAGCATTGAATCAGAGTTTCTTGCTAAAATGATCGTTTCCTTTTTTCATCTCTCAGATTTACTGTGAACACGCATACTTCTTTCAATAAATGATCTTCGGTCCAATGAAGTTTATTTAATAATTCATAAAATTTTTGTTTTTCTACGTTATAAAATACAGTCTGATCATCAGTCATTTATCTAAATAGATAATTTTAAAAAAAGAAGATTTGACTTTATACTGCTACAATTTCGAAACGTCATATTTGAATAAAAGAGATAAACGCGATCTTATGCGCACACAGAAATATATAGAGCAGATAAATGACAAAAAGAAAAGGAAAGAATTTTGCATTATGATACCTGATTATAAGATCAACACAGCAAACGGTAATAGTTATATGTAACAAACTTTCTGTAAGCTTTTAATAGAACAAAAATTTGAAATTATCATAAACAAAGAAAAAAAATCTAATGTTCATTATCTTGCTCTACTGGAATAGGTGTTTGCACTGGACGGCAGCGTTTTTTCATTTTTCTTTTTGGCAATTGAATGGACCCATTAAATAATTGTTGTAAATTTCTCCAAGCAGTTAATGATACATTTTCTTGTGCGCGTATTACTGATGATGCATGAGCACGAAATTTTGCAAGAATTCTATCATCTGTTGATAAGGTTAATATTGTTTCATATTGCTCATTATTTGTAATCAATTGATCATCATATTGAATATCAAGATTTAATTTTTGGCATGCATTTATCAATTGTTGTTTTATTGTTATTGGCGATTGATGATCTATTGTCTTTTTGTCATGTTCAACTAGTTCATCTTCAATAAAATGAACATGTTTTTTTTCATGCTGTTTATTTACATTTTCATCACGCTTCAGTAAACTTTTTATTGGCCCTACTGGTAAAGATGTAGGTGTTGCAACATCAATTGATCCTAACAGATTAGGATCTAATTTTGAAAGTAAATTTACAGCAGCTGATTTTTTAGCTATTTGCTTATTTTTACCATAACCATCAGCCGAATCATCATCACCAAATTTAACATGAAAATGAAAATTTTTATCATCATTTTCATTTTTTAATTCATTAAATTCAATTTTAATATCACGTGCTCGCCCTATTTGATAAAGGCGTGTTATCGGATTGATTTGTTCGGTTAAACTATAGCTAACTGAACCTTTTTGTTCAATAAATTTTTTATGTTGGTTGCTATGTTTACGGATATGTTTTTGTTTATCCATTTCTGATGGTAACGGTAAAATTTCTAACATTTGTTCAGCAGCTATTTGTTTAGCAGCATGTTTCGTTGAACCCGTACCCGTTGTTGAATATTGTTCACCGATAAGGTATGTTATTGTTAGTGGTTCATTATATTTAATTTGAACTGAAAGACCAAGTTGTTTAGCACGTTCATACATTATTGAAATTGGTGATTTTGATTGAATCTAAAAAGATAAATTTAACATGATTGTTTTTGTCTGTTACTAAACAAATGAAAAGAACTTTACCTGGGTTTGTAGCGATGAAAGTGACGTTAAAATAGATTTTTCATTATCACGTATAAAATTTAAAGCATGATAAGCACAATTTATTCGAGCTAGTTGATGTGATAGATCATGTCCATCAAAATGAAGATCTTGTCCCAGATAAAGACGATAATAAAACATAATACAAGGAAAATTCGATGAAACATTATTTGGTGTAGTAACACTATGCTGATTCAATAGAACGTATTGTATTGGAATATGGTTTTGAGCAGCCCAGGTGTTTAATGTAACTGTCGGATGTTTTGACACTTGATAGAAGAAATTCGAAATAAAAAGATTTTGAATTTAAATTAGAAAAGAATGAAAGTTTAACATACAGTTAATTCCTTTGTCAGATTTATCTTTTAATAATAAATGTGTTTGATCGTTCAAAGCGATTTGTGCAGCAGCACGTTGTGCTAATTTAATACTACGATCACTACCAACATATTCTTTATCTCCCAGTCGAAGTCTTACACAATAAAATTTGGCATGAGCTGGGCCTGATTCTTTTTCAAGTTGATATTCAGCAACTATCTAATTTTCATCATTAACGATAAGGTAATTTAACACTTTTGTCTCCAATTAAAAATTGCTTACTTTATTTTCTCGAGCCAAATTATTAATGGCTTTTAATGGAGATATTTTCAATTGATCTTGCTGCATTTATTTTATTTATGCTAGGATGGAATATGTACACAGGATAATAGTTAGAATATGAAAATTTGTTGTTTGAATGTTCTATGCTATCACATTGTAATTCGCCTTTTATACTATTCAGTTATACAAATAAATAAACACTCACCGACGGATAGTAAGACAACGAAATACTATCGATCGAGTGGTAAAAAAATATATATATCAAATATGAATAAGAAACGTGAAATACTTCTATTTCCCTTCCCTTCTCGCTCTTTCTATCGTCATTCAGTCAGTATTATATGATTAAAAACTTATGGATTGACTTATACACCATTGAAAAATAATTCGAAAGATGGTGTAGCCATACGATATGCGTATTTTAACTGAAAAATTATAATAGGTGGGATTTGAAAAAAAATATGAGCATGAATTTTACTTGGTTATATTTTTATGTCTTAACATCGATTAGCATATAAATTCATAAGATATTTGTTTTCTTGATCTAGTTTGAAGAAATAATATGTATCAAAAATCAATCAATAAATGTTTGCAACGTATATCCTTTTATTTTTAAATAAAACAGCAGATCAATGTTTGTGTAGTTATGCATGTAAAGACAACAAAATATTTTTCATATTTAATGCACCTACTTTGAAAAAGTCATTCATTGATTTTTTTTTCATTTATTTGGATCTATGTAAGAGCACTAGTTGCTTGCACGTGAAATATGTTATCGTATTCATCTCCTACAGAATATATGTAGATATATATATATATATATTAACATTAATTTAAATTCTAGTCATTTAGTAGAATTGTAAATATAGTGATTAAGATATATGACCAAAGATATACGAAGTTACAAGTTAACATTAGTAGAAGTTATGCAAGTGGATATTTGATAAATGTACTTATATCCTGATCTTGGGATCCTTGCACGACCCTTGAATATTAATGTTATAAATCTATATCGATGCTATCTGACAAGATGTGCCAAATTTTTTGCGACGAGACATTTACGCAAAGACAACTACATGTCTTCAACTTTTCTACATATCGTATAACGTTCTACAAAACATGTCTAATATAAGTGTATCAGTGATATAATTTATTCATCCTAGAATCTACACGTTTCTATCATATATATATATATGTATATATCAACGAGTATTCAAATCATAATACCATAAATACAGAAGTAGATTTATCTTTGCTATCATCAATAGTGTGATATCATGCATTGATAATAGAGAATGTTATACCTGTGTCATACAGGTCGTTGTTCGTTTCTTTCAAACTTACACAGAATGATTGTTTGTTTATTTTTTGCTATACTAATGAAAGTGTCAATAAAGATATTCTGTTAAGCAAGATAGATTATTAGTGACGAGAATATCTAATTCAAGTTTATGCAAGGAAAGATGAATGATTCCAGTGTACAGTACACATTTCACAACCGTTTTACCATGAAAGTGTCAACAGGTAATGCCAAAAGGTTTTATATTCTTTAGGAACAAAAGTAGTCTGTAAATCTGATGATCGAAAAATACAGAAAAGTAACATAAATAAATCCATCGTAGATAGATCATATTAAAGTTTTGTTTCTGCTAAACCACATCGTCGACATGCAGATTCAGTAATTTTATTTTCTGCAGTACAATTAGTGCATCTCCATATAATTCTATGCGTATTTTTGACTCGATCATTCATGGATTCGGCTACGGATATTGATGATAGTGGTATATTTCTATCAAGAAATGTAGGTTTAAGATAATTTTGATCTACCATAGTATCAGTTGATTCTGTAGTTGGCATCGATTCTTGATCTTCATAATCATATTCATCGGGTGCTGGTAAATTGTTTTGTGATTGTTTAGTTTTTTTTCTTCGAAAGATTCTTTTAATTGATTCATCAAATGATAAAAGATCATTGTGTAATTGATGCATGGATGCATCATTTTCAATCGCTTCACCACCAAAATACTTTGCAGGTAACTTACTCACTTCAGCAACGACTTCGTCAGTTGTTACAGCATTTGCAACGGTACCAAAAACTAGATCGTTGATATTCCAATTTTCATTGCCAGATTGCATATTCCCCATGATTGATTACGATAGAGGAAGCCAATAAGAAAACAAAATATTAAATAGAAAATACAAATGCAAAAGCTGTTTTTTGCCACCTTTTACTATATTTTTTCATGTATTCATTGAAGCGAAAAATCATGCCTACGATTGACTAGCTATTTTATTGGTTGATAACTTTCATAGAAACTGATGAATACTTGTATCGAATATATATATATAACGATAATGTACCAAAATAAAAACAAAACCAACAACATCCACCAGAACAACAAAAAAAATGTCATATCGAATATACAGTTAAAAAGACTGAGCGTTTGATACATTCATATAAAGAACACATAAACGAACTGACGAAAAATTGAATGAATACTGACCAGCAAAGGAGACAAATAAGTTTAATTGACATTTATTCTATTTTGTTCACATCACTGTTAATTTAATTAAATGCGAAAGTTGACTTTATGAACAACAACATAGAATTCCTGTACGTTTCAATGTTGTTGGAGTAAGTGCAGCTAAAATAGCCGTATCGAATGTTTCTTTAAGATTTTCTTGTGTTAATGCCGAACATTCTATATATGCATATGCTCCATAGTCTTTAGCTGCACGTTCACCTTGTTCACGTGTTATTGGCTTTTGTTTTGATTTTGCTAATAATTCAACATCAGCTATACTTGTGCGAAGATCTATTTTTGTTCCGACAAGAACAAATGGTGCTGTACGTGATGATGATGATTGACGAATTTCATCAATCCACATTTTCAGGGCATTATTAAACGATGCTGGAGACATAACACTGAAGCAAACAAGAAATACATCAGTATTTGTATAAGAAAATGTACGCATCAATTCAAAGCCTAAAAGTAAAAAGAAATTCACAGCAATATTTTTATTAAAATTAACTCATTTTTCGTTAAATATCATACCACTTTGACCAGCCGTATCAAAAAGTGCAAGTGTATATGGTTCGCCACTAATCATCACAGTAACAGAATAATTATCAAATACAGTTGGAACATAAGATTGTGGAAATGTATTTGTTGTGTATGATATAAGCATTGATGTTTTACCAACACAACCATCGCCTACACAAACACATTTTATTGTTTTATTTGTAAAATTACCACCACTTTGATTCGATGTATTAGGCATTATCTAAAATGAAAAAAGATGACATTATTCATCAAACATCGGACTTTGCATATATACATTTTTTTCTAGCTCTCTTCCTTTCTTTTTCTGCATTTACATGTTGAATGTTTCTGTTAATGATTTACTGGTGTCTATCAATTACATTGGTGGAATAGAGAAGAGAGAGAGAGAGAAAACAAGAGATAAGAAAAAATGAAGAATGTAGATGATTTTCAAAATAGAAAGGGGGAATATCGCATTGAAGTGTGTACAGACATTTATATTGTTAATGTTCTCCATTGATAAAATACCATAAAAACAAAACAACAAAGAAAAACTAAATTATAGTTTTTTTTATTGACATTGTAATACAAACAATGCTAAATACAAACCAGAGGACGAGACGGTAAACATAGAAATGAATATACGATTAACATTTAGATTCTCTAAGAATGGGTTAGATTTGAAACTAATGAAGTAATATAATCTCTCATCTAGATTCTAGAATAAGATTACTGAGAAAAATTAAAATTATAACATAGCTGAATCTACGAATGACTAATATTAGTTTTTCTTACAAAGTTTTCTAAGAGAAGGACTTGAATTAGATGTTAATTGACAATCATTATTGAATAAACTCATGCATAGTACAATGACCTTGTCATATTTGGAACTATTCTCTAAATAATACATACATATTTATTTTAACTAACTGAATCGCAACAATATTAAACAGTGTTCTTCGTTCTATTAATCACTTTCAGAAAACGCCTGTTAATACTATTCATGTATACAACTGAAGAGAAACCTTAGAACTCTTTATAATAGAAAATTATTATTGGCTTTGTTCCTGCGGCTTTGACGGCATCGTTTTTCATTGGTAATCAATGTGCCATTGGTGGTCCTCTGGCGACCTCCGTTTAATTTTCTTTTATTGTATTGGTTCAATTGTCTTGTCTGTCAGCTGTATACAGTGAGTCATACACCCAAATGCATTATTATCCATCATGAGACAATTACTATTCTCAATATGAAGTACTCTAAGTGAAAGCAGGCAAGAACGATTTTGAAAAACTATTGTACTTTGTCTCTTACTAACAAAACATACACAATACCATGATGGTACTTTGAAAAATGATCTAACATTTTTCTAATTAGTGACATCATATTCTAGGTATATGTGCATGTTTTTCTTGTTTATAGGTTGTACTTGTAGATGCAGCTATAACGTATTTAGCCTAGTTTGTATGTCTAGGTTTCCGTGGAAATCTATATATTTATTCTTCTCATTTTTTTAGTCTCAGAGAAACATTTTTTCGTAAACTATTTGGAATAGTAACACTCTTATTTTTCTTCAATCATTCAGTCACCTTGTTAATTTGTATTGCTCTTTCATATAAAATAAAGTATTGAAAGATACTTTATCATTAAAAAGAACAGGTCCCTAAAAATACTTTGTTTCAGATTCGTAATAAGAACTGTAACTGATTATCATTCACAACTTAAACGTTTATTTTGTGATCATTATCGTAAAATGAAATTACTGGTTTTTATTTGGTTAAAAATATGCTCCTAATGCCTTCGTCTACAGTAATTCGAATACAACGAGCCCCATCAATAAATCGAAATAATTATTCAAATACTAATGATGATAAAAAACATACGTTAAGCATGTTTCGCTTATTTATTCATCTGCTTGATTATATTTATCTATTTAATATAAATATATTTCTTCATGTATTATTACTTCTTAAACGAATATTTAAATTTTTTTCTGGCTTTTTAAGTTTTGTTTTTGTTTCATTGTGTGGATCAAGGAAAAAAGTAAGAATATTCAAATTTTCTTAGATAGCTAAAAAAATAGTTGATTATTTAGCTTATCCAATTTCAATCAGTTAAATACTATACTTGTCCTCTTCAACCCTTATCACTTCATCGATTGCGTATGTTTAGTTTTTTGTTGTAATATATGCATGCTATAAATATTGTTTTTTTTCTCTTTGAAAGATTTTCTTCCAAGGAAAATTCTGGTATTAGATTTAGACGAAACCTTAATTCATTCTCATCATGATGGTTTAATACGTGCTGTAACAGGGAAACCAGTAGGACCACCAGATTTTATAATACCTGTCGAAATTGAAAAACATCCTGTACGATTTTTTGTTTACAAACGACCACATGTTGATTATTTTCTTGAAATCGTAAGAGAATGGCTTACTCGAATCAGTATGTTTTTCATTGTGTTTATCTAATTATTTTAGGTTAGTAAATGGTATGAGCTTGTTGTATTTACTGCATCCATGGAAATTTATGGCGCAGCAGTTACCGATAAACTAGATAATAATCGAAATATTCTTTCTCGGCGATTTTTTCGACAACATTGTACATTAGAATCTGGCACATATTCAAAGGATTTATGCGTTGTTAATAATGATTTATCACGAATATTTATTTTGGATAATAGTCCTGTAGCTTATCGTTCTTATCTATTTAATGCCATTCCTAGTAAATGAAAATTTCTTTTTTTAAATTTCGCTAACACAAAATCTTTCGCGACTACTCTTTTCTAGTTAAATCATGGTTTTTTGATCCAACAGATACTTGTCTTTTATCATTACTTCCATTTCTTGATGCATTAAGATTTTGTCGTGATGTACGTTCTGTATTAGCAATGAACTTACATTTACATCGAAATTTAACAATGACAAATCCGAATTCATTGATCACACAAGTTTTGCCATCATCGACATCATAATTATATTTCAAATTTTGTTTTTCGATACTGTTGATTGTTTTCTTTTTGTTGTTGTCCGTTTCTTTCTTTTTGTATTTATTGTGTATTGCTTCGTATATGTATGTTTGTATGTGTCTCATGAGAACGAAAAGAAAAACGAAAAGGCCGGCTACGTAGCCAGGCAGAACAAGTTACTTTTGTTATTCTATACATGTTCTCTTATGCTATAACGCCAATGAAGAAACAGAGAGTAGTGACAAGCTCGTATCCTTCGCCTTTTCTATACATTGCACATGATTTACTGAGTAAATTTGCATACAATACGTCTTTTGTCGTTATTCTCTTTCTCTCTTTTGTGTATGTGGGGTGAAGACGAAACGAAGGTATTCAATCTCGTCTATTCTATTCGTCACCAATAAGTATTAGTTGTGTGCTCACGCATTTTTTTGTTGGAAGAATCGATCGAAACACAATAATAAAAAAAGAGAAGGAACTTGATATGATGTCAAAAACGAATGATCAAACAAAGTCTGGCCACGTCAAACAAAGTAAAAATACTAAAGCAAAAAAAATTTACTTCAAAATTCAGTAGTCACACTTTGCTCTATTTTATAGTTTGTCAACATTTTTTAGCACATGCTGATTCAGGTTTAGCTCATCGATTGCAAGAAGAAGAATGTAAGCTTGATGATTATTTTAATTATTTTAATGTTGATCTAAGATGATAGTTGCTGTACATTTTGATCGAAATCGTACACATCGACATGAATCACGTCTGGGTGTCAAAACTGCTCGTGGTGTCGAAGAAGAAGAAAAAAAAGAATATTTTGCAAAACAATTAGATTTTTACCAACAAAAACACAAAATGTTAGTGTTTATTTTGTAGTCTTATGTAAAAACTTGTTTTTATTCTTTGTTTTTTGCTAAAAATGATAGAGAAGAAAATGATATTGCATTAGCACGAAAGTTACAAGAAGAAATGAAAATTAAATCAAACTCCGTCGATCGTACTGATCATAATTCTCATCATGATTCTTTTAATGATCAGGTATTTAAAAAACATTATGAATCATACTTATCTTATTATTATTTTTTTAACTATGATAGAATCCTTATGAAGAAATCGATGACTCAACAGCATTTGATGATATAAGTAGTGATGAACAACTAGCACGAATTTTACAAGAAGAAGAACAATTATTAGCATCTGCAAATGTTCATTCGCATGTTAATCCAAAATTTAGATGATTTTTTAATACTTTGTTTTTCAAATCGAATGTATATTTTTTCATTATGAACACAAATCACAGCATAATAAGTTTGAACTACAAAGTTCTTTTTTACTATTCAAACTTTTACTTTTATTCTTTATGATTTCGATTATATCAGATGAGAGATGATGAAAACGTTTTAGGTATCTCCTTACGAAAATAGATGATCTGAATTTAGAGTCAGATTTTTGAACAACTAGATGAATAGTACTATGCTAAATTTTCATAAATTCATCCTGAATAGTAAAGAAGAAATAATAATTCATAGTATGAAAAATTTTATATTATATTATCTAAAAATTTGATCACGGTAATGATTTTTTAAGAACTTTCCGAACGGGAACAGTCAGGATGTAAACATTTTTAAAATAATGAAGCCACATATTTAATTAGGTATCTAAGCAAGATTGAGACGATTATAATAAAAGTTAAGAAGTCTGCTAAAAATATTAGCACAATATAATCATTTTTTTCAGGATGAGTGATGATGTGATTACAAAAACAATATTTGGTCTCATGTGTTATATTAAGAAATCAATATATCTCAGTTCTTTTGGTCCTGATGTAATTTCTTTATTTTAATAATTAAAAAATTGGAAATTGAATTTCTTACCTTTAAAGACACTTATAGCTGTTTTCTCGTCAATATTATACACGCCAAGCCCACTTAAATTAGGATAGTCAATTGTAAGAAGAATACGCTCCAGAGATAATGATTCAAGATTGAGCCACTTTATTTGATTATGAATTTTAGGTAAAATTTCTAAACAAAATCGATCGAGTACTGTATCAGGTAATGGGCAAATTCTATTATTTGAGACAACTCGCAATAATGTTAGACAACTAGTAAAAATTGAATCTCGTAGAATTTGGTTGAGACGCATATTGACACCCATTAAAAAATACAGTATTTGAACTTTGTGCAATTTTTTAAAAATTATCGTAAGTATCTCATCAGGCAAATCCATTAGTTGAACTAGTGATTGTGTCATGCTCATATATTCATATGTCAGTTATTTTTCGTTCATACGCGTTAAAAATTAGATAAAAAGAATCATTTATTCAATTTTACCGCTGCTGGCGATGAGAATAATGGATTGTTTTGCCTCAGCATGTCGATAAAGAAGGAAAAAGTTCCTAGTTACGTGAACCAATATCAAATTCACTACATGTGGCGCTCTTTTTTATTTTCCAATGAGCCAAATGTGAAATTAATAGTAATCAATCGGAAAAGTTATGTTTTGTGGAACTATATTTTTATTTTACTTTTTTAAAATCTTGATACCTAGAATTAATTGATTTAAGCTGGCCAATAAAAACACAGATGTACTTTAGCGGCTTATTATCCGAAAAATCACAGTGAAGCCAAATTATTTGACTGCGTCCGAAAAATTATTCTTATTCAAGAAAAATTTATCTTCAAGAGAACCTTAGAAAAAATTTCACCATATATATCGACACTAAGTGCATTAGCATGCTAGCGATTCAAGAATAAATCGAGGATTCATCATTGTTTATGGGTAGATTACCTGCAGTGTTTCTAATAGGAGATCTGCCAAGCAGACATAGGATCTTTGAGGTCAGGATTTGACTATTGTCTGTCGCGATTCTGCTAGATTACGTTCCCAATTGACACACGCAGTTTCCAAATACATCTTGAAAAGCTTTATCCGATGAAATAGTTTTGTTTTGAGAATGATCTTTCATTCAGCCTGAAAACCTGAATCACTGCAAAAAAACACGTGCAAAACGCAATAAACACTCGTAGAACTTGCCGCGATTCGCTCAGGATAACTGAAGAATTACGACCTCTATTTTTCTATCGTACGAATACCACACAGCAAATTTATTTCTGTACAAATCTCTGAGTGCGCGGCTTGAAAGTAACGAATATCCCAATGTGCACGGATTGAGTTCTTGTTGAGCTGAGTTGAATTTCACAAAGTTGATCCAATCGGACTCCTACAGTCCACATTTTTCCAGGGAAGACTACTTGATTGACACATTTGTAGTTTCAAAATAAAATTCTACTCTCACGCTGTTTCTTAATTTGTCCAGCTATTGGGGGCGTGGAATCAAATGATAAATCTATGCAGCCGATAGAGCTCATCCAGTTCTATCTGGAACTGCGATGTTATATGTGGACACTATTCCTGAACGAATCGCGACAGACAATAGTCGAATCCTGACCTAATATATCCTACGTTTAAAAATGCGCTTCTATTGTTTTGCCATGAGATAACTATTTCCATAGTATCGGTGTTATTTTTCAGTTAATTTATTTTGTATGTTAATAAATGCATATCTCTATTTAAGATGTTTTGTTGATTTAAATGCATGATCAAATTCTTCTGAAAATGAGATAACCCGCTATTATATCAATACTTAGAATGCATATTTTTCTCGACACACACACACACACACGGATAAATACTCACAAAGAGGAGAATTTTTTAGCATTTATGTGTAAACTGGTTCAGATATTAATATATAAAAAAGCATACCGAAATATGGCTCTGAAGGAGACTTCGGGCATCGCAGTGGCAATCAAAGAATGTATTGATACTGATAGAAGTGCAAGGGAAATACTGAAAATATATGGAAGCATCAATATAATTCATCGTTATGTTAGAACAAGTTTAAAATTTAGAGATTTATGAATATTCATGATATTGTAAGCCATCGTATCATCGATAAATAAGCGTTGTTGGTTGATTTCGTAATTTATAGAAAGGGAAATTTAAAAATTGTCATAATTTATTATAATGGTTTCATGGATCAGAAACAAATTAAACATCACGATCTTGCAGAATCATGTATGATGTTGAAGTATGGTCTAATGCTAACATAAAAGAATCGGTATAATGATCATATCGTCTATAATAATCTACTAGAGAATATTCGATTTTGAATTGCGATTGGTACTCTTCAATACTGTTCATCATCACTGAGTGTAAGTTGGTGATTTGATAGAAGATTTTCTATACTGGTAAAGACTACATCTAACCCATTTCATATTCGATGTTTAATTAGATGTAGAAATATCAAATAAAGAACGGTATGGGGTCCTGATATGATATCACATTTGATTCTCTAACTTAAAAGTAGTAAATACTTATTTCTTAATAAAATAACTTATCTTTATTTTTATTTTTATTTTTATCCTTGTTATCAAAATTAAATAAAAGCGATCCTCGACAAAGAACCGCGTAAGAAAAGGAGAAACAAGCTCCTCTCCATTGTTTCGTTTCCATATGTCAAGGTACCAGTTATCCTACAGCTCTTTTTCGTCTATTTTTTTTCTTCTTCAAAAATTTCACTCATTTTTTTCAAGAAGATAACTGCAATGATTGCATTCGCGTAAACACTATTGTTGGTAGTCAGTCTTATTATCATCATTTTGTTTTTTCTTTACCTTCTTCAATGCCGTGTTCTTCGTTCATGGTTAGTCTCTTAGTATGAACCGCATTTATTTATCTTCCACCGTAGTACATATATAAAATATAGGAATAGTAAATGGTATATAGATAAAGTTGAATTGACCTAGGTCGACAATTGTGGACTTTGTATGCGACTGTAAACGATCGTGTATACAGTCCTATTTCTTCGTATACGGTCGTTTGCTTACCAGCGAAAGGTGTCTTTTAACAAATGACCGAAAAAAGCGAAGAGATCTTTCAAAGACGGACATTTTCACAAAATAATCGTTTCTCAATTCTCAAAAAATCTCCATGCATATTCTGATATTACTAGACAATAAAACGCCTACTACAGAGTATCCCATGAACCCACACTCATCACAGGTTTATCTTTAAAATCCAAGGTTGATATATTATAACGTCAGATTTTCTATCACTGTAATATTCATAAACAAAATACTCGACTAATAGGAAACTAATTGATCTGAGACAGAATTTATGAAGACATTAGTGCGTGTTTTTATCATATCTTTTCAATTTTGACACATTTAGGAAGACCATACACGAAGCACTGTAAGGGTTAAGTACTGTAGTCATATCTGTAGAATGCTGTGAAACAATGAGAAGGAATGTTTCAGTTGCAACAAAGCTTTTCCTATATTTTTGTAGAGAATATGCAAAATAGTTCAATGTTTCAATGTAATATAATATTGCTCGATTGTGGCGCTCTTATAAAAAAATATCTGTTGCAATTTGAAAATCTGTTCAAAATAAGATTTGTTTTGGTTTGAAATAAGTTAAAGGATTTTAAGGAGTTTTCATTCAGTTTTGTTTTCCTTTTTTCGATTGATCCATTTGAAACAAAGACTTTTAGTGTATTGAAAAATGTTTAAGTGTAAATAAGATATTCATGTGAGTATTTTTGCAACTCTTGGATCGTTTGCTTTTTCGCGAGTGAAAAGGTGACTTCTTCAACATTATGACATTATTGTTTTCTCTATTCTGCCAGAAAAATATGTTGACAAGGTTCTTTATGAGTTTTTCAACATATGACTATTTATTTTAAAAACAAAATTAGCTTTCTTGTTCTCCGTAAAATATATCGGAATTTTGTTTTGCTGCGCTCTTCCCTCCCTCTCGCCGTATTCGATTATCGAAAACAGGTGAACATATAAATGCAAAGAAAAACTCTCTTCTATTCTATTTGGCATCTTCTTTGTTGTAGTTTGTTATGAAATATATATTTATATATTTGAAATGAAAATAGATAGGATTCCAACCTTATAGGCTAATATCTAGGCTGCTTGAGTATAAAACAACGAATAAATATTGGGGTTTAACTAATTATACAAAACCTGTGTATTTACGACCGTAAGTGATTTGAAATTTGATCCGTAAACAACCCCGGTAGTGTTCGTGCATGAACTTTATACCTCACTAAGTACGAAGCGGGTATATCCGACGTCATTACAGGCCGTATTTTGATCGTAAACAGCTGTTTTTACACTTTATTCACGTTGTTAACGCTCTTAAACGATGCCGTAACGTGTTTCATTTAGATGAGCTGGGGAAGCAATGAAAAGTTTCCGTATTTTATGTTTTACTTGAGTTTGCAGCTTATTAAAAGTTCTATTTTCGAATTCGAACTCTATAGGAGTAGCCTGTTTTCACAGATATTTTTCCTGTGAAGTAGACAATTGACTGAGAGAACTTTTGACGTTTGTCATTTTCTTTTTTTCAAAAGAAAGTTGGAAGTATCATGAAAAAGATATTCAACATATTTTTTGTCAATATCAACTATACGATTATGTGAGTGATCGTAATGAACAATTTTTTGATGCTATTGAACAAATAAGAACCAATTTTCTTCTGAGCAGGTAAATCTTGGGAATTTATTAGCAAAAGAAAATATCAAGTATATAGAATGAATCGGTGAAAGAGCTATTTATACTTTTTATGTCAAATAATTTCACGATATTGAAAAATAAAAATATGTTATATAACCAAGCCGATCAGTTCGGTCACCAGATACTGTAGAAACCAAAAGAAAAGATACGCAATAATTGCCGTATCCTGTAGAAAGACACGAGAACATGGGAGTAGCATTCCAGTCGGACTCTTTCCAGATTTCTCTCGATTATTTCTAGTCGCTTCCTAATGGAAAGAAAAGGAATTGAATGCAATTCATCGGAAAAAAGTACGACAAATTTCTGGCCGAAACACAGCTTCCATGCTTCGTCGATTTCAGATGTTTTCCTGTGAAAACCGGTCCGTACTTCTCGGCCTAGGATATGATATCGAAGCGTCTGACTTGAGAAGTAGAGTTCAACTCTGTTGATGTTCTCCTGAATTCGTTGTTACATAATATGTTTCTCTCCGACCTGATGAGTGATAACACTGTATTATATAATAAAGAATTTCCCAAGTTAATTTATAACAATTATTTTCATATTGATTCGACTCTGCTATTTTGTATTATACTTGACGTTAATGTCTAGTTTTTTCGAGTTTTCGGTTCTAATTTAATTTAAATAGTTGAAGGTATTAATCAGTTGTTGTTTTTGGAATACTTACAAGTGATATAAAAAAAACACGTAATATGGCACAATTTATGTTAGAAGCTCAAATAAAACGATGTTATCTACATTTATTTTGTGAATCTTTTTTCAGAATTTTTATATTCATCGTAACACTGATATTTCATGTAAACATCAGTCTCATTCAATATTATAGTGATTCATAAAAAGTTGTATAATGTTACCGATTCATTCAATTATCGTGGCAAGCATTTTCATTTCAATTATTTCTTGCCAAACAATTTATGAATTGTTAGACTCATTTAGATTCTTAAATGAAGGTACAATATCAAGTTCTGATATTTATGAATATCAATATGAATTTTCAGCCTATACAGAACCAGAAAATGTAACACGAGAAAATTTTGCATGGGTAGAAGAATCTGTCCGACCGTATTTATATCAAACCGATCCAACAGAACCCTTACAATGTAATTCAAATCCATTGTTATCAGGTACTGATTTACCCGGTGCTGATTTTCTATCAATAATACCATCGTCAGCTGATGCATCTCATTGTGTTACATTATGCTGTACATATATTTCATGTGTTGCATGGTCTTATGCGTCTTTAGCACCAGCAGATTTTAATGGCTGTAAAAAACAACAGCCATGCTGCTATTTAAAAACATATATACCAGCTTCTTCACATGATCCAAATATTATTTCTGCAATCATGAATCGCACATATCCATACAATCATCCTCCAACTGGGCTACGATCAGCTGTACCATTAGGTGGCATAACAACAGGTTCGATCGAATTACGTGGTGATGGAACATTTCATGAATGGACAGTTGAAAATCAATCGCCAGCTGCTGGAGCTAAATTTGGTGTTGTTGATGATGCATTATTAGCGATTAGATTAAAAAATTTAGAATCAAATGAAACTCATACTCGGTTAATACGTACACATCCAAATCATTATTTTAAAGGTATAGATACCATAAAATATCATGGATCATATCCTGTCAGTAAATTAGAGTTGATCGATAGTACATTAATAGCTAATATGGATCTATATGCATATTCAACACTTAAAGTAGGTGATTTAAATCGTTCAATGACACCAGCTATTATTTTTTCATTAAATATTGAAAACCCAAATGATTATTCTATTTCTGTTGATTTTATGTTTAATGTACCATTATCGGTTCAAATCGATCAAACAAGACTTTCTAAAAATGTAATACGACAAATAACTACTAATACATATGCTGAATGTTTATCATTTTGTGATCAAAATAACTTGTGTGCTTCTTGGAACTGGTTCATAACTGACAATCAAAATACATGTTTATTATATAGTGATATTGGAAATAATGTTTATCTAAATGGTCATGTCAGTGGTGTACGTGGGCAATGGACATATAATCAAACTGGTCCATTAGTATTAAATCGTCCAGGAAAAATGACTGCTAATGGTCAATATCTATTATGGCCAATGCTATCATCGGATCAAACAATGACAGCAACTATTGATAATGATATTAATAATTTACTAAGTAATTTTTCAACAAATGGTGGATGGTTTCAACAAACCGAAATAGAAGGATCTGCTGCTGCAAATGGTGCTGTTTCTATTTCAACAAAATTGCAACCAGGTGAAAAAAAGACTGCATCAATACTATTTGCTTGGTATTTTCCACATCATTATTGGCTAGATTTACCATTAGATAATTATTACTCTTTATTGTTTAATAATGTAACAGATGTTGGAAAATCCCTAGGAATAGATAAAACCGATGGTCAATTGAAAATAATTGTAAAAGATATATTAACATTACATAATATTTATTTCAATTCTAGTTTACCGGATTATTTAGTTGATTCATTAATAAATAGCGTTTCTCATATGCGTAGTGCGATGTATTTTTCTAATGGGGACTGGCGACAATGGGAAGCATACGATTGTAATGATGTTGATAGTGTACATAATGATCATCAACGTCACATACCGTATATTTTATATTTTCCTGAAACCGAAAAAATTAAAATGTATACATGGGCAAAATATCAACAAGCCGATGGTATGATACAAGAAACATTTTCAGTTGGTTGTATGGGTGATACAGCTCCATATGATCAACATGGTGGAAGAAATATGGGAGATGTGACAACAATATTTATATTAGAAACATTAGAATTATATCGTTGGACAAATGATTTTACTTTTCTAAAAGATATGTATCCGCATGTAGTAGCAGGTATACAATGGCAATTAAGTGTGTCAACTCAATTAGGTTTACCAGAACATTTAGAATGTACTTATGATATACCAAATATGAGTCAATATCCAACAACAACATTTAATTCATTCATGCATTTAGCTGCATTACGTGCATGTATGGAATTATCTTATATTATGAATGATACAGTAACATATGGGAAATGTTCTAAATCGTTTATTATTGCTATTAAACAAATCAATCAATTATTATGGTACAATGATAGTATAGATACAGGTTATTTCTTAGCTTATACAGGTGGGCAAGGTGAAAAAGCGATATTTACAGATGCATTGTATGGTCAAGTATTAGCATTTACATATGGATTAGGTCCTTTATATAATATATCAATAATGAAAAAACATCTAGAAAGTGAAGTAAGATTAGCAGATACACCATATGGATTACGTATGTTAACTGGACGAGAACCATTAACAAATCCACAAGATAATTCTATATGGATGGGTGCATCACAAGATTGGTCTGTGTTAAATTTATGGTTTAATATGGATTTCAATAGTGCATTAATACAATCGGAAAAGGGTTTAAATAATGTAAGAATAACATTAAATGATCAATGGAATATACATGGTCTGTATGCAGCTGATGGTTATGGCATTGGAGGAAAACCGTGGATAACATCCCATTATGGTTTTCATATGGTCTTATGGCATTTACCATTTGCAATTACAGGTCAATATACGGATTTATCGAGAGGTATATTATTATTTTCACCGAAATTGCGACCACCTTTTATTTTACCTGCACTTATTCCCAATACCTTGGGATCAATAAGTGCAACTCCGCTACTAAATGGTCAATCATCTTATACATTTTCATTAACAATTGGAAGTTTATCCTTAAATATACTTGCTATTAATAATGTGAAACATCCAGGAAGTGTTAATTTAACAGCTGGTCAATCGGTACAATGGATCGGATAATATATTAATCATGATCGGCATTCATTATGACTAGAATTCTAGAAAAAATGTTCTCCTTTCTACTCTAAAGCGACTTTCTAAATTTGTATTAAGCAGTCTATTGTTTCCTTTATGTTGACTATAGTAATATAAAATTGAACGTTGAAAAGATAGAAATGTAACACATATGGATTATTTATTAAGAATTTGTCGTTTAATAAAAAATAAGTTAACAGAACATTTTGTCAATTTTTTTTGTACTTAGTTAAATATTTCCGATCAAAAGAAATGTATTTTTTGATGTAATCAATATTTTAGTTAGTGTACAATATTGAAAAGACATTAAATAGAACAATCACTAAAATTATAATTTTTTTCTGACGTAACATTCACAGATGATAAATTTAACTTAACAAACGTATGAAGTTATGGTATAAAATAATTTGAATCAAAAAGAAAATATTGAACTTGCTAGCATCATTCAAATAAAACAAGAAACAAATCGTAAAAAAGGTTGTTAAAATTAATTTTTTCATTTCAAACAATAATATACTTTCTTTCCCGAAGTATAAAAATGTCGATAAAAAATAGGACGAGAATACAGTATATATAACTCTAGTATTAAACTAAGAAAACTAAAATAATTCATAGAAATAAAACAATCTAGTCTAATCCAAATCATTGATGACAGAAATTATTATTATCATCCCAATTTGGTAATAGGACAATAGATGTTATTGCCTCACAAGGGAAGGTCCCTGTGTGTTTCTCTGGGATTTCAATCAAACCTATGTGGGTTTGTGAAGTCAAGTGCTGTTATCTCAAATATAGTAAAATTAGCAGTTGACATTAATCCGTTGAAAAATTTGGAATAAAAACATTTTTAGTTTAGAACTCTGAGGAGGACCACAGATGGATTTTTTACACTAAACAAAGTTCACAAAAAAAAATAAAAATTCTGGTATGTCACCTTAGTTTTTAATGCTGATTCCAAATATGTTATTGGTTTTCACTCATGGTGTATTTGTGTCACCGAAAGTTGCGAATTATATGTTAAAAAAGTAGAAAATGATATCTTAACATTAATATTTCGCGAAGTCTATAAATCGCGAATCTTTTAGGAATTTAAAAATGCATGACTTTATAACATTTCAAAAGCTCTATCGACTGATATACGGAGAACTTCATGCATCGAATGATTTGGCCCTCTATCGACCATCAAACCACTGGTAGAACAGAACTTTCATTTCGGTTACCATTACCACCGATCGACAATCAAATGATAGATAAGAGACATGAATAAACTGTTGTTGTTAAACTTGTGTTAAAATGAATCTATCTAGAATTCTATACTTCATTCAATCAAAGTAGCACGAAATCAATATGACATGATTGTGAAAAGGTATCAGCAAACTATCTCGTAGTTTTCACCATTGTCAGTTTAGAATGTTGTTAATATCTATGATGTTTCTGAAAACATGATTACTCTCTTGAATTGTTTAATGTGAGTTCGTGGAAGAGAATAGGAAAGCCTTCTATCTACAACGTTTACACTATTAGCAGAAAATCCTAAGAAAGCTTATAACAATAATCTGTGATTTGTTACTAGTCGTCTGGATATATGAATAGAACCGCGTGACAAAAACACAAAAAAAAGTCAACTCGCCCGCAAGACTAAAGATATGCACATTTTGATTGTGTTAAATACATGTATTTCTATAAACAAACCGGCATCCTTTCTTTCTTTCTTTCTTTCTTTCTTTAATCATCTATTTTGTCACTGTCACCCATGCAAATATCTCCACTTTATCAAATAGAAAATGCGTATACCTCAGAAAATATCTTATTATTGACATTCTCTTACTTTCTACGACGCGTCTTCATTACTCTTTCTTTAGCATCCACAAGGTTTTCTAGTAGCCGATATGGATTGAGTGATTTCAGAATCGAATCTTACACTGCGCACATCAACACTATGCATCATTTCATAGCACATTGAATTCTACATAGATTCATTTTAACATGAGCTTATCGAGAAAAATGTATTTATATCTTTTATTTGCTATTTTATTGCCAATCGGCGATAAGCTATATGAAAATTCTGCTCTACCAGTGGTTTGATGGTCGATAGAGGACCAAATCATTCGGTTCACGTAATTCTTCGTATATCAGTCGATAGAGCTTTTGAAATGTTATAAAGTCATGCATTTTTAAATTCCTAAAAGATTCGCGATTTATAGACTTCGCGAAATATTAATGTTAAGATATCATTTTCTACTTTTTTAACATATAATTCGCAACTTTCGGTGACACAAATACACCATGAGTGAAAACCAATAACATATTTGGAATCAGCATTAAAAACTAAGGTGACATACCAGAATTTTTATTTTTTTTGTGAACTTTGTTTAGTGTAAAAAATTCATCTGTGATCCTCCTCAGGGTTCTAAACTAAAAATGTTTTTATTCCAAATTTTTCTACGGATTAATCTCAACCGCTAATTTTACTATATTTGAGACATCAACACTTGACTTCACAAATCCACATAGGTTTGATTGAAATTTCAGAGAAACACACAGGGACCTTCTCTTGTGAGAGAATTTACTAAAATGTTTTTCAATCTCCTTAATAAAAGATGAGAAACTAATTAAAATTAAAAAATTCTTTTTCTTAAATAAGAAATAATAATATAGTTCTACTCTCCAATCTAATATATTCTTTGTTTGATAATTAATGGAAGCTATATGCTTCTTTATGATATCATAATTCAAAAAAGAAATAATGTTTTAGACATATTATTTTTCATGTTTGCTAATTTTTATAAAACAAACCACATAAAACGATTAGTTATCGTTAACACTCGCACGATTTGTTTTTTAAATCTTTAATTTATTTTCTTCTCAGAGAAATAAGCATCTTCTTTATGAAACACATTCCAAATTTTTCTTAGACACTTAAATAAATTATTGTCTGGCGTCTTCTTTTTTTGTTCTAATTGATACTAATGATGGGTATGATCGTATGAAAGTGTTGGAATATTTATTCTTCATTTCCTAAATAATCATAGGAGAGAAGCACACACGACGATAATATTAATCAAACTCTAGATTCAACTGAAATATAAAGGTCTGCTGATGTTCTGTTCAATCAATAATGCAGTCATCATGACCCAAAAGATCATCATCATCATCAGTAAAAATAATTTATGAGAATGAAATATCCAGTAAGACACCATGGGAAATGAAAGTATGGCGAACTTGTCGCAACATATATTTCTTTCATGATTGGGTGCTATCACCAAACGATTAGGAAGTATACTAAAAACGGAATATTATTCTCCTCCCATTTATTTTTATCATTTCTGCATGAATAATCAATTTCTCTTATTTTCGATGAAATATTAGTTTTTTTTCATATAAAATTTTGGATTAAAAACACGCAGGAATCTCTAATTTTGAAAGCGCAAAAAGGTTACTATGCTTTGTTTCTTTTTTATATTTATATTGCGGATCGAGATAATGGAATAGAAGTAATTGAATACTAATTGTGCGAAGCATATCGGAATGAAACTACAACATTCTTTATTTTTTTCTCTCTCACACACACATACACATATAAATATAAAGACCAAGAACGAACGAGTACAACACGTAATATGAGAAAAATAGAAAGTACTATTTGCATGGCTCACTGGGCAACAGTTCCATGTTCGAGTAATACTTCGTGTCCATCGTTTGTAAGATGTGCTGTCGAGTTCGGATCATCAGCCAATTTGATTAGATCGACTATTTCACCTTTTTCATAGGGTATTTCCAAAAAACTATCACTTTGTTTTAATGATGGTGATCGAACTGGTGATGTCTCTTTGCCGAAGATACTTGGAGAAGACGTACGAATTGATGAAGTTTCGTCGGGATCCGATGCTGATAATTGTTGCGATAGATGATTGGAAAAATCAGTTACGGGTGTATTCAAAATGATTGACGAAGGATCAGCATCAATTGAAAAACGTTTGGCAATCGGATGAACAGGATGATGACGATCAAAACTTGACTGAGTCGAAAGAATTTTTGTTAATTTTTTTGTTGTTGTGTCACTTGCAGACGAATTATCAGTAGACGAAAATACTGAATCAGTTGGAGATGGATCAGAATGATTTGTATCACTGGTCAACTTTTCTTCAGGAAAGATCAAAGTTGGTGCTGCAGAGGAAGAGGAAGAAGACGCCATCGAAAATGTTCTTCTACAAAGAAAAGATACTAATTAATTGACTTTTTAATGAAAAATAAAGATCGATTCATTTTTCCAATAAATACTTTGATAGCTCTTATTGAATCAATTGATGCATGAAGAGTATGAAAAATGTCTCTTGCACTATATTGTTTCTCATTTCAATTTAAGCGAATTAAAATGAAACTGTATTTCAACCATACTGAATGCTGTAACTTAGGAATGTAAAAGTAAACAAATTGACTTACGATTCTACGAATGAAGCTATGTTATAACACAATTTACCTCGATGTTACTAGTTCTGACATGTTTTTTCTTTGGCGTAAATATTGGTGAACCAGTAAACGAGAAAAAAAACGTCAGAACAGAGACAACAAAAACGACAACGTCACTGCTCTCTATAGCTGACGTATGCGCAAGTCTGTATAGAGAACACGAAAGAGAATGATAAACAGAGAACCAGCAAGGACGCAGATCGATGACGACAAGACAAGGGTAGTAATAGTAAAAGAAAAAGAATGCAAAGGAAAACAGATGAAAGGCAAAAAATGCTTGAGCAAGAAAATATAATACAATAATCATGATGAGAACACATTTGTAAGACCGACGACGATAATTGCTGTTTTCCGCGACTTTCTTCCACTATTCTCTTCACTTTCAATAGGAAAAGAATTACGGGTTAGAGAGGAAAATAGTCGATGGACGAAGCAAAAACGTCTGATGAGAAACGATGAAAGAGAAAAAAAAAATATGTGCACGTTCGATATGAATCCATATGTTCATGAACTTTGCTTACAAGCGAAAAATATATTTGAGGCGTCTTCGTAGATTAGAAATGGCATTTTAGAAAAGATTTTGATAAGCTTTCGACGAACTAACTCAAACAAACATGTACAACGAGAAGAGAAGATAAAATCTTTTTTTTTCTCTCTCAATCACTCAGATAGAAAAAAGAAAATGGCATATAATAACTTCAGAAAATGCGAGAAAAAGAGTTAGAAACTATTTCATTGACTTATATTTCCTAAAGAAAAGTCATACGCTGACAACTATGAAGGGAGCTAAGAGTTTCATCGAATTAGCGCGTAAGATATCAAGAGAAAATAGCATGTAAGACCTTGAGTATCATTAAAAAGTCTGCATGATTATCCAGTTCTATTTTTATCATATATCGACCAAAGATTATTGTAGATGACAAATGAGTTTCAATTTGCTTACCTACTCAACATGCTCACAATTTAGCTAAATTAGTTCGATGAATTCAAGAAAGCGTCTGTTTGTTAGGGATGTCACATTTCAATTTAAAAGAAAATTAAATCGAGAAATAAATTTTCAAAAATTTAAATTTAAAATAAATCAAATTGTTGTTAAACGAAAAGGTAAATTTAACTAAATTTAAATTAAATTGCTTGAAATTCAAATTAGTTCAGTTTTTAAAACTAGCAGAAAAACGTAGTTTTTGATTTGATTGCTACTATTTAAAGTCAAATTTTAGTATGCTTCCTGTTTTCTAAAGTTAAAGCTAGTCATTCTTCTACGAATTGTGCCATTAAATATATTTTTATGAGTATCCCGGTATTTTGAAGAAGAAAGATGACGGATTCTGCATAATTTGTAGAGACATTTTGACTATTATGAACAAATATTAACCTAGAATACTAGGTCTTTCTCTTATTTAGTATTTACTACTGTTAAAGTCACGTATTTTCCTCAGAGCAATGATGTGCATCCACCCAAACAATTTATTAAATTTAAATGATTTTTCAGTCCAAAAATTTAAATTTATTTTAAATTTAACTTGATAGAATTCAATTTAAAATTAAATTAACTTTTCGCGAAGTTAAATTTAAATAAAATAAGCTGTAAATTGATACCCCTACTGTTTGCTATACCGATTTCTATTTTTAAACAAAATAGCTGATCTAATGGAACTTTATTTCCGAATCAATCTACCCGGATTATTTTTAAAAAACAGCATCCTTTTACACCGCGTACAAGCGTAAATACCTACGCAAAGACAAAAAAAATGAAAAGAAAAAGAAAGAAGAGAGAACGAGAGCAAACAAGACAACGATACTACAAAATAAAGACTAGTGGAGTATACAGTCCTACATGAATTTTGGTTAACATCACAACATAACAATTATATCATAGATTTTTTTGTAATTGCAGATGTATTTTAATAAAAAAAATAATGTGATAAAAAACATATAAGAGTTTAAAGGATTCTTGCCAGCGCATTACTAATATTAGCCAAATAAAAAAGTAAACAATATAAAATAAATGATTCATAGGAAGAAAAAGAAGATAGGCGAAGAAAGATTTACATCTATACGAACACAAGCGAAAAAGAATCTACGAAATAGGAGATGTACTACACAGACTACGCTTCTATGAGTGCAGATCGAAGCGAGGCCTGACAAAAAAATGTCATGTTGTGGTAAAATTCAAAATGTATCGTTCAATTTGTCAATTATCGTCCATAAATTTTTTCTTCTTTTGACGATTACTTCAGACAAACCAGTGTAACAGCCTCTCTCTCTCTCTCTCTTTCTTTCTTTATATCCATGCTTGAAAAACTCTCAAACAATGATTCACCATTATATAGGATTGGATAATTCCACGAACCGTTAGAAATCATCAATACTGTATGTAATCTAGTAAAGTAGAGGTACTGCCAAACAACAAAAATAAATGTAATAGAAAAATGGCGTTTTAAAGCAGCTGAAATGTGAAATCGAGATCTCATCAATATTTCATTAATAATAGATAGATCATGTCTCGCAGTATGCCTTATCGTCTGGAATGTCCTGAAAAATGTCTGCAAACGCAAGATGATGCACTCAATTCAACCTTCTTCATCTTAAGACAAACAGGTCCAACCGCTTTTGTCATTAAAGAAGATGATGAACGAATATTTAAAGTATTTAAAATAAATAGAAATTGTTTATTTATTCATGCCATATCAATTAGGTATTTTTGGGTGATCAACATCAATGCAGTTGTAATGCATTTCAACGAGATCGAGAATTATGCAAGCATCTTTGTTGGCTTCTATTAAAACGATTCCGTGTACCAAGAACGAATCCAAGTAATACATAATATTTAAAAGATATCCTTTTACTTATGCATGTAAATATACGTTTAGTGTTGTGGCAAAAAGGTCTTGTCGAACGAGAAATAAACGAACTTCTACGTGGTTTAGCACGCGAGGATGAAAGAAATAAAACAAATCATAACAATAAAAAAAAAGTAAAATTTTCTTCATTTTACTTTGTAGTTTTATTCTCTAAACTGTAGGAAAAACGAATTAAAAAAGAACTTTGATTTTAATACTTATTGCTATGATCTTAAAAGATGTTTTATATTTACACTAGAACTAAAGAGAGATGTTTGTAAGCAGCATAATTCGACAATATCAACAGTCAGGTACTTATGATTTTTATCAATCAAAATCCATGAAGTTCAAATTGATGCTTCGAGAAAGGATACGATTGATTATCATATCATATCCTGAATAGTCGATCAGCCGAGATTGCATATAGATTTGATCGAATTCTATAGAAATCTGCTTCCCTTTATTGAAATTGCGAAGATGATGAGTTTTGATATCATTTTAACTTTGCTACTATCAAAAACAATATATTCTAAGTTCTTCTCTATAATTTTTTGTATAACAAACAAATCAAAACATTTTCTAAAGATAATGAAGAAATCTATTTATTTTTACGTTACAGAATGATGCTGGAAATGATGGTGAAGATGATGTTGAACAACGTTCAATTGGCGAAAATGATGTATGTCCTATATGTCAAGAAGAATTTTTAATTAAGAAATTACCTATTACTTATTGCCGGTTTGACAAAAATTTCGAACTAGTATAGCACATTAATCAAACATTTATTTGTTTTTTGTTTAGACACGGATGTGGCAATAATGTTCATGTTAAATGTATGAAAGTATGGTTGGATCATCAAGTATCGACAGGTGAAAAAACTGTTAAATGCCCATTATGTCGAGAAACATTTGGTACTCCAGAACAATTGAAACAAGAATTTCGGTAGAAGCGATTCTAGTTTGCTATTGATGTTTCCTTTTGAAAAACTTGATATTATCTATTTTTAGCACAAGTGGAGCTCAACAAGCAGAAAAAACATCCATTCATTTGAGTTATTCATGCAATCGTTGTCGTGCATGTCCAATTACTGGCAAATGTTATAAATGCACTACATGTCATGATTATTTTTTATGTCAAACATGTTTCAATTTAAATATACATAATGAACATCAATTTGATTATCGAGAAGTAAAAATTAAAACAGAATAACAATGAATTTGACTTTTATTTCTTTGACTTAATAAATACATTGGATTTTATTTAGAAATCATTTCAACGCTGGAAATTAGCAATACGAGAACACTTAACTGCCTTACCTAATGCTCTTCATCAAATGTTAGGGAATAGAGAAATTACAGAAAATGATTATGATATTCTTCTTCAACTTGAAAAGTAATTTATTAATTGACACATTTGTGTCATCGTTTTTCTTTTATTTTCTTTTAATTCTCGTTACCAAGCGCTCAAACTACTGCAATAATGGGTATACCAGAAAATATTGTTAAATCTATGCCAACTGAGCGTGTTCATGAACGAAGTCGTTTATTACAACATGGTGAACAATGTCGTATATGTTTAAGATCATATCAAGTAGGTGAACGTGTTCGACGTTTACGTTGTCGACATAAATTTCATATTGACTGTATTGGTAAGTTAAAAAGGATAAAATAAGATAATTTCTATTTATGTTTAATATTTTATTAGACGGCTGGCTTTTGCATAGTCATCCAACATGTCCTATTGATGGTCAACTTGTATGGAGTGCTGAAATGGATAATGAACAAAGAGAAGCAAAACGGTAAGTTTTTTAGGAAAAAAGAAAAAAACGAAGTTTTTCTTTTCATTAAATTTTAAATCAAGTTCATTACCTATTTTATAGTTCTGCTCTCGCTGCTAATCGACATTCGACAAAACATTGTTCTACTTCTGGCTCATCTTTACTCTCAGTTGATATGGGTCTATCTGTTACTCCTTATCATATACGACCACTTCATATGCAAACAAATACTGATTTAAATCAACGATTTCGACGTCTTCATATGCGTGCGCCACTACGTCCATTAATAGCAACAACAACCAATGAATTTTCATCCGCTCTTGAAATAAATGCTCATAGCATAGGTAATCGACAATTATCATCAAATGATAATGAACGACGACAATCATCACTACCATCACCGCCTCTATTAGAAAGAGAAGAAATTCGACGAGTAAATCTTGAACTTAATCAACATTTTACATTACCACCAACTATTGTTGGTCGTCGTTTACTAGAACGTAGGCGATCAAACGCTAAATAATATATTTCTTCGCAGTTTTTGTTTAATGTGTACGACATTCATTTTATTATTTTTTTTGGTTATTAAGTTTGTTTTTATCCTTTCGAATATTACACATTTTCTATTTTGAAAAATATGAAATGCTCATAGAATTCAGATGAATCGGTACAAAATCTCATAGAAATAAATCGATTGAACTATATTCGTCTACTTCGATTTTAAGAGAAGATAGAAGTCTTTATTGAAAATACTGATTATTATAACAATGATTCAATAAACGGAAACATAGTTTTAGTTTTCATCGTCTTACTCTAGTTTCTATTCGTATATTCAAAACAAACAAAAAACATTATTTCTGGCATTTTAAACTTTGAATGAAAAATAATTCTTGATGATGATCAATGAACGTTCATTTTGAAAATAAATCACTTTTATTAATATCTGTGGTTTTAGTTGTAAATAACCTGTTTCAACATGATCAGCACATTTAGCACGTGCTTTGCCAGTCGTTTTCGATTCACTACCAACTTGTCGACCGATTTCATTATTTTTTAAATCCATTACACGTTCTTCAAGTGGTCCCGTTGTATTGTTATCCTCGTGAAGATCAGCAACTTTCTTAGCTTGATCCCGACCAACACTAATCGTCATTAAAGCATTCCAATAACAATGACGCAAAGCATCACCAATACCATTATGTAATGTTTTGCCTGGATAACTGTTTTGAGCTTCTGCAGCAGCTACATCGGCATTAGTTTTAGCTTTAGCACAATCAAATGGATCAACAAGAAATAGGCATTTAACACCTTCTACTAATGTTGATCCAATCATATTTATTAAAATATTTTTAAAAGCAGAAAAAAACAAGATTTCTTTTACCCGCGTGGTTCACCCCATACTTTATCTACGACTTGTCAAGTTGGTGCAGCTTGAATACAAGCAGCAATGGCAAGAACAACGACTACGATGAATTGCGTTGGTATATTTTTCTTATTTATTCGGTGATTTTAAAAACAAAAAATTGTAAAATAAAGTCCTCTTTTCAGACTATTTTATACTAATCATTTTTCATAGCTACTTATTTTTGTAAATTGATATGCTGCCAAAATCCTGATGCCATTAAAATATTGAAGGATTAAAAATGTACTCAAAGAACAGTAATATAGATATTTAATGATATATTCAATTAGTTGAGACTCTTTTCTTTGGTTTCCTTTACATAAAATACCAATCAGTATTACGACAAATAGGAAAAAAACAATCAGTCGCAGTCGAAACAACAAAAATCTTATTTTCAAAAACAAAAGCAGAAAAAAACTGAGTAATATATAGCTACACAGTAGCTACACATTTATTCGTTGATAAATAATTCTATACATATAGAGAGAAAACAAAACGAATAGTTAGAAATAATTGTTCATAAATTAATGAAATCCACTTGGATCATAACGTCCGAAATGATTTCGATGTCTATAAAAAAAAAATATACATATATATACATACAGTTATTTATCTGATATAAATTTATTTTCTTACCGAAAAGGTTCAAAAGGCATATTCATTGGATAATAATCATAAGGACGATCATCAGAAAAGTCATCACCAGCAAAATACGGTGGAGGAAAATCCATTTCGAATGTACTAATTCAATATTAAAATCATATTATTGAAAAAATTAATTAGAAAGACAACTAAATAAAATACTTACTTGTAACGTGACGATGGATAGCCATATGGTAAACGATCACGAAGACTAAAACCTGCACCTGAAACAAACAAAGAAAATATAAATAGATAATCATAGTTGAGAAAAAATTCTCTTACCTGGATAAGGAAAATTACTTAATGAAAATGGATAGCGATGACTAGATGATGCACTAGGCCGAAAATTAGTTGCACTACCTCTGCGAGGCCAACGATCCTAAACGATAGAATAGAAAAAGGTTGTTATTTTCGAAAATTTTAGTTTGAAAAAAATGTTGTTTATCGAATCATGTAAATATAACAAAGATATGTAGATTCAGTTGAATGAATTGACATAGCAAACAATAGGAATACTTGACTGCTAACCATCAATGAGATGAAATATGACTCGATCAAATAAGCTATGTATTGTGGATAATAAATGTTCTGATAGAAAAGGATTCTAAAAGATATTCTTTAGAAGTATTGACTATTTCTAGAGTGATTTTTCATTTTAGATATGAAATAGATATTTTTCATGGGTTTTATGTTTTGTTCTCCTAGCTTCTCGCTCTATAACAATCATCGTTAAAAACAATAATTTAAATAAAAATATATTTGAACAAGTAAATTAGACAATTAGGAAATTCAATAAAGGTACACTCTAAATAAACTTTGGCTATTTACTCGATCAGGTCCTCCATCATTTGCTGATTGCATTGCTGGAAGTAAATCATTTTCATTTCCATTATTGCCTCCATTATTATTATTATTATTATTATTATCATTAATATTATTATTATTATTATTATTATTGTTATTATTATTATTATTGTTCAATGATGAATTATTTCCATTATTTCCATTTGAATTTTCATTATATTGTTTCTCAAATTCATCGACATGCATTGATGGTGGTCGACTTGTATTTAATGGACGATTACGAAAATGATCTATGCGTCGTGGAATACCATTTGTTGTATTATTCGTATTAATACCGCCAACTCGAATGTTTCGACGATTATGTCCACGCATTGGTGCACTCCATGGTGTACGACTTTTCGATACACTTGTTGTTATTATTGATGTATCTACGGTCACTGTGGGTTCTACTGTGACTGTACGTTTCTTTGGTGAAGATCTTTTCAAATAAAAAAGTTATATTGTCAGTTTTCTTGTTATCTTAAATAAATCATTACTTTCGTTTTTTTGCTATTTTATCGATAATTTCTTTTTTATATTCCTCAACGAAATTAAATGTTCCACAATATTTACCAATAAAATCTTCAAGATCACATTTAATCTGCCAAAAAGAATTAAATTAAAAAATTAAAATTAAAAAACTTGATCTATCTGACTTTTTCATGTGTTTCATCTGGATTTGTTGTTGTATCGTCTTGTCCATAATCAACATCATCAATTAACGCTGGAGTTGGAACTCCAAGCCAATAGAGTTCAGAACTTCGTTGATCATCAGTATAATCATTAACAATTGTATAAATAAGACGATTTTGAAATTGAGTGTCAATTGATTCATATTTCGGTAAAATTATTTCACTCAGTAATACAATTTCTATTTAATTATACAAAAATAAAATAAATTCTATGTATTTAGAGAAGTTTGTTAGTTAAAACAAATAAAATCTGATGGTTTGAAAAAATAGTTTGAAGATAGTTGCTTTGAAAACAACGGAGTTTATTTCATCAGAATATAAAATATATCTTGAACAGATTCTAATCACATTATGAAATCGAACTTTTATATTACTTATATAAGATTTGATTTTATGAATTAATTCTTTTGTAATCGATAGAGCTGAAAAATTCTACTGCATGAAACTGCTTTCATGCTAAAAACACATGTCGTCATACGTGAAAGCAGAAGAAGAAATTATTTGAATATGAAACCCCCTCCAGAACTAAATTTTATTTGGTAGATTTCTATATTTCTAATCTTTCATAGCCCTATTATACTGTACAGAATTCCTTTGAATTTTTCTTTAAATTCTACTACGAGTAACATAAAACATTTGCAGAATGAAAATATTTCCTTTATTTTTATCACAACGGATGAACCACAAAATTTTTGTTTTACTATGTAAATTCATTTCCGTTGCAATTAGCCCTTTGCTTTTTGGTTAATACGAAACAAATTGGACGAACAGAAGTTTTATCATAATAAATTACGTGAATAATTTTAATCTATTACTGAAATTATTGACGATTAATAAAATATATTTTAGACAAAAAAAATTACTACCGAAATACGAGAAATGTAGTTGTTTTTTGATATTTTCAAGTAGTTGCATTTTTTAAATCGGTATCATTATTACTTAAAACTATTATTATTGATTGAGGGAGAATAGCTTCTTACGTATAAACTGTTATCAACATATTGGTGAAAGACGTAGAATTAACATCGATCGTTTTATTTTGCAACTATTTTTGAATATTAACATTTAGGTGATACTATACCCAGGTCGATCGTTCCGGTCACCGGATACTGTAGGAACCGGTTGGAACGATGCGGAAAAATCACCGTGTTCTGGAGGAAAACACGAGAAGTCGCTGGAACGTGGAAGCAGTATTCCGGTCGGAAAATTTTCTGAGTTTTTCCCGATGATATACTGTCGGGAAGTACTGGAAGTTGGCCGAAATCTACCGGAACAAAATCCGGGAATTTTCGGCCAGAATACTGCTTTCACCGTCCAGCGATTTCCCGTGCTTTCTGGTAGTTTCCCGCCGTACCGCCACGACCTGGGATGACAACTGTTAATAGATAACGTTGTTGAATCAATAAAAAGTTTCGATTACTAGTAATTCAAACTCATCAGAAAGAAAAAAAAATCTTATTTATCAAATTATCAACATAAACAACAAACCTGGTTCATGTTGATTTCCTTTAAGTGATTGAATAATAGTGTTAGCACGTTCAAGAATTTTTTGTAATGTTTGAACACACTGTTGATCCTCTTCGTTTTGTTCTAGAATATCAGAATTACCAATTGTTGGCTGCTTATTTTCATTGTCATGTGCACCCAATGAATCCTATGATTAGAATTATATTAGGCAAATCAACACACTGTGAAAGACAACTTTATCTTACATCATTAACAACAGCGTTGATTAAATCAACAAATTTTTCTAATTGACTTTCACCAGCCGTTGTAACACCAAGTAATTCACGAAATACAGACAATTGTAAACATTGAGTTCGAATAAAACTACAATGGAAATATTTCTCTTTCATTCGAATTTATTATCTGCTTACATTGATTCTGGTGTATTTTCAATTGTCATAATTCGTTGTAGAAATATCATTGAAGCAGAAACAGCTTCAAGATAATCTGGTTGTTCCTTATCAAATCGCAGATCAAATTCAGCAATTAATGTACAGAGTACTTCTTTATTTTGCATTAAAGTCCTAGATAGAAGAAAAAGTAAAATTTACAATCTTATTGAATAGTATTTTTGTTCATTGTTGATAGAAGATAAATAAATGGGCAGGCTCGATTGGAATTTTTTGATGAAGTGTTTAAAAACAATTTTGATTTCAAGAGATGATCAAGTGGAAAAAAAAGTAATCAAAGAGAAATTATTGTTAACAAATGAAAAAGTGGGTGGCATTTAGAGAATATAATTTTGAACTTCGGATGTGTCTATAAATCAAATATCTTTTTCTTTGTATTGTGATGGCGAGCGGGATTTTTTTCTCGATATCAGCAAATCAGCTTACATATCTGTTTACAGCTACTTTATTCATGTGTATGAACGACTGCCTTATTGCACTTTTAGATGAACAAGAAACAGGATGACCAAAAAAGAGATATTTTGGAAATAAATAAAAGTAAAGCATCGTTATATCAATATCAAACTACACCTAAAGCTGATTTCACATTATAATCTGTTAGATATTGCACTGAGAACTTTCTTACGTTCGAATCATTTGTAAACCAAAGTCATGTTCAGCAAGTGAGATCATTGATCGAAGTGCCATTGTTGTTTGTGTCCATGTTTGTTGTTGTTTAGTTGATGACAGTAAACGAAGAATATTTGTTAATATATATGATAAAAGTTCTTGATTTGGTAATGCATTAGCAAGAAATTGTAATGGACTATTCAATGATTTTGACGATGAAAGACATAAATTTGCATCACATAAAGTTTGAATAATTGACTAAAAATAAATAAATATTGATATCGATATTATTCAATCTATTAAACAAACCATGGTAGCTTCTTGACAAAGACATGTTTCGTTTGATTCGGCACGTGTATGAAGATAGTCTAGCATATCTTTCATAATCATTGTATATTTTTCATCGGAAGAATTTCTATTTAGACAAATATTACAATGAAAAAATTCACAAAGCAAAAAAGATAATAGCTTACAAAAGTGATAATAAAGCACATTTTCCGGAACGAATAGCAACAAGTGAAGCAATAAAAGCTACTAGACGACCGGAATCACTTATTGATTGTTTGGATGCTTTAGCTGCTTCACTATGATCATTCTTCCAAGCAGATATAAGTTCTTCCATTAATTTTCTACAAAACAAAAAAAAGAAAAATATTGTAATGTTATTTTCGTACTATGAAAATTATTTATTTTCTTTATCTACTTCATAATAAGTTTAGCCAATTTTGGGCCTAAATCAATTAATTGCATACATAAACGTCGAAGAACTTCTTGCATTATCGAATTTGATGTATGGCATAATGCTTGAATTAATTTTTGTAAATACTGATTTCTATCATGTATCCATATATAATGCATAACTGTATGATATCGATGAAAATCATCTCTTATTGCATTTGTTTCATTGTCCGTTAATGCCTGTAGTAGAAAATATTCTTTATAGAAAATTCTTTCTTCTTCAAAGATTAAGTTCGACAAACATCTGATCATAGACAAATCAATCTATATTTTCTATAGGCATCTCAAAACAAATACGACTAAAATTAGACTGTAATTGTAGTGTGCGTCAATTTCAATACCTATGCATTTTGTTTTCTTTAGATAAAAATATGTTCGAATATTAGTTTTGAAATTTTCTCAAAAATTTTCATTTTAAAGGAAATATAACTTTTGAGATTTAATGATCTTGATGGAAAAGATCAATATTCAGAGTAAATTAGATATAACTGGAACTAGAAAAAGAAGTACAACTTAGTTTTTTAAGTTTATTTCAGATAGAAACTCAGCTGTGAAAACACAACAATTCAAGAAATCTCAAAAAGAAAGTCATCTTCTTTACAGTTCAGGAATAATTGAATTTGCTTTTTACTGTGTCAGAGGTCTAATTGTAACACATCAATAACAATATGAATATTTATTTCCTCTTGAGTTCTTCATTTACAACTGCAGTAGCAGAAATCAACACACGTATTCATTGGCAAACGGCAACATTATCGAAATAGTTGGATAGAACGATTTAAGTTTGGCATTTTCTAAAGCTATAAGCAATGTTCAGTAGAATATATTCTGAGAACTACAAACAGAAACTTCGATCTTGTGACTAATTTCAAAACATAATTCAATGATAAATTATCAAATGATAGCAGTCCAGTCTTCTAATGCAAAACCAACGATCGAACACTAAATTTATGAATAGTTTAAAGAAAACGTTGATTTCACGTGTTATATGATTGAAATAAATATCTTTCCAAGCTACAACATTGTTTAAACTTTTTCAATTGTTTAACTTTCAACAAAATGTTTATTCAATAAACATCATATTTTTATAAAGTTCAAATTCCTTTTAGATGTTTCTAATACTGAAATGAATCTAGTCCCACTTAATATTTTGTAAAAAGAATCGAAATGTTGTTTCCTCATTATTTTTTTTTCAAGTCTAAAATCAGAATCGGAAATATAATTGCAGTTCTGAATAACTTTTGGAAACGTTGCATTCCACCTACCCTTCCCGACAAATCTTAACTATAAACGATTTTTTTCTACATACATCAAGTACTCGATTAATTTTGAATATTCTCATTGTGAGAAAACTTGTATGATACTATTTCAATAAACTAAATACACGTACGTTAACTGATAGATACCATGAGAGAAGAACTAATTTAAAGAATTAAAATATTCAAAGAACAGTAATCAACAGATATATGACTCATTTAGATCGTTAAAAAAAAGAAGATTCTCATACGATTGCATCTATAATAATGACTTATGTAAAAATATATGCGAAAAAACGGAGAGTTTTGTCCACGATCATTGATAAATAGTCAAATTAAATAGAAAATAAAGTAAAGAAATTCAACCTGTCGAACAGTATGTGGTAACGGAATTGGTAGAAGTTCCGTTAGAAGACATAAACCACTAGTGATCGAATATGGAAAAAGTGTTGTTAAACGTAGAATTTCTCGAAGAACTAATGTCCAAGAACAATTTTGAACACTTACTAATATTATAAATAGACAAAAAGAAAGTATAGAAGTAATATAAGAAGAAAAATAGAAAAACATACTTTGTTCACTATCCAATTGATTTGACCAAGGGTAAGCAAGAAAAGAATCAATCAAATTCGATCGAATAATATCAACGTCAGCTAGTTCAGTTGAAGGTGATGCACAAAGCGTTACAGTATAAATTGAAAAAAGTGCATGCACAGGTGTTATATCAACAAACTGTATAAAGAAATCATACATGCATCAGTAATAAAATAATAATAAAAATATTTCAAACAAACTTTAGTTTTTCGATCAAGAGCTAATTTTTGTACAAGTGTTTTAAAAATGATTAATGCTGGAATAAGTATTCCATATGTTAAAATTCGATCAGGTATACTTAGTGGTGCACCTATTTGCCACGTGCGTAATAATGTTCCTGCGCACTTCTATTTTTCATTCAAAGAAGAAAATATAAATAAACTTAATTTAAAAATATTAAAAGAAAATAAATAGTTTACTTCAAGAATACTAATTAATAATGAGTAAATTCCATGATGATATAATTTTAATAATATATAATCATATTTCAGTTCGACTTTTGCTCCAACAATAAATTGATTTTCAGGTGGTATAGATAAATATTGAACAATACGTAGAAGAGTTATAAGACCTGGTGAAAATTCTCCTGAATTATTCGATTCATTGATTTGATTTTTTATTTCATTAATAAGATTCTCAGCTGTTTCTTGCGTATAATCAAATGTTTTGATTTTTAATAATGGAGAAAACCAATGTCGCAAACGAATTAATCGCTGATTTGAGTCTATAATAAATTCGCAAACATTATTTACTGTATATAATAAAAAGCAATTCAGATAAAGTAGAGTACATACGTTTTTCACAAAGATCAAGTAAACGAAGACCATATTGTTCTAGTAATAGAATAGAATCCGATGTTGCAAATAATTCATAAACGATGCGTGCTACATAACGTGTTTGAACACTAGTTTTTATTAGTTCAATATTTCCTATTAAATAAATTAGACACATAACAAAATTGTTAGCATAATTTGCCAGAGTTAAAATGTGAAACACGCTATAGAAAATGTTGCTAACCGTAAAAATATATATTAATCAGTCGTTTCCTGAAGTCTACATAGATCCATTAAGTAATTCGTATTTGTTTTTGTAAATAAGACATCATCGTTTGTATGATAGTTTACTATAGAGATTTGTTCCGGTATTTGACTTTCCTACGCGCATTTCTGTCACAAAATATGGGAGAGACTATTTTCTTATAAAATCAACAACATTTTTACATCGTGTTTCACACAATTAAAATTAATAAAACAAAAAAAGACAGAACTAACCAGATAATTCAATAAAATGTAGTAATGGAAGAAAATTTGATTCCATAGCAATAACTCGAACAATTATTCGACGTTTACTCGATAATTTTCTTACATAATGGTGAAATAAAATTAATGACAAAAGACAATGAAGCACTTGTAAAACATCTTTATTATCGAGTTCTAAATCATCTTTCATACTAAGTAGTTTTAATTCATCGATATAGCTTAATGTCTGAAATGCACACATCAATTGTGGACCAACTGGATCATTATTAATATCTTCAAATTTTGTTTCCTACGATAGAAGAAAAAACACTAGAATTAGACTCTATCATAATCTATGTAGAAAAAAGATTCTTACAGCAAAATAAAGAGCTTTTAACAAAAAATTTGGTGTTGATATTTGATTAGCAAGATAAATTAAGCCATCAAATGAATTTAAAAATTCTCTTAGAATATCTTCTATTATATTGAATAGATCTTGTCGTTGATTTAATACACATAGATGGATAAGAACAGTTAGAGATTTAAGAAAATCATTATCCATCATCAGACGTAAGATTGATGGCCATGGGTTTTCTTTATTTGAAACTTTTGAATAAACAACTGGAACAATAGATTGAAACGGCGCTATACGAAAAGATTTTTCTTGAGAAATAAGATCAACAGCGTTAATCAAAATATCTCGAATAGTTGAAAGAGATATAAGAAGTTGATCAAAAATTAGTTTTCGATCATTTGCTAATGATGGAGATTCGTCCGATGATAAACTTAAAAAGAAAAAATATAAAAACAAATTAAACAAGAAGAAAACTATTTGAGTTGATCTTGATACGTTTTAATTTGTGATTGAAATAAGTGAAATTCTTCACCAAGATGAATTTTTCTTAGTAGACAACTAATCAATGTTATTAATTGTTTCAACTAAGACAAACGATAAAAACAAATAAAATCATATATACTCAATGAATATTTACTTCGTTTCCACTTTGTAATTTTTGTATTAAACGAAAATACGGTGATCCACGAGTTTCTGATGAAAAACCGGAATGTTGACCTGAAAAATATATCGAATAAAACATTGTTTTTCTTTCAATATGAAATTTTACCAGTAAACCAAAGGAAACCCGATTTAAAAAACAAACTTTGATCAAGAACTTTTACAATAAGTAGTTTTATTGATGGTGAAATGCATTCATTATCATATAAATCTAACAATTTTGAATGATAATCACTTTTCTAAATGAACGAAAAAGAAAAAAAAACAATTCAATATTCGATCCTTTACGAAAGTAGATAAAATGGCACATACAATCCAGTCATTGGATATATCTTCTGTGAGTACACTTAAATGTCCACATAAGCGAATGCCACATTTTATTAATCGAATTTTAAGTAATGTATCTTTCAAGTCAGTAAATTGTTTTGCCATAACATACTCAACATTTATTAATTTATGTGCCCAATCGGTAAGACGTTGAACAGCTAATACTACATAAGCAATCAAAACAATAAATTTATCAATGTATGTAGCATTATTATGTTAATACAAAAAAAAAACTTTAAATATGATATTTCTAGAAGACTAACTAGTTCTTTTCAAATAAGAATCGAACACTAAGAAAACGTCCTTTTTTATTCTTTCTGATTCGCAGAAATTTTCTAGTTTTCTACTAGTGATCTTGTTTAAGGTTGCTTTATTATTATTTGCTGAAGTCTGCCGCATATACTCATTATATATACAGCAGGTATCAATACTTCATTTTATATTACGATAAGCTCACATTCACTAATACAAATCGTTGTACTAAATTGCCCGTTGTTTTGTTTTCACGTAAATCCTATGAGGATTGTCATAAATCAAGACATTGCTACTCATCATCTTTAACATTTTGAATACAGATTTTAATCTTCGTAAAACTTAAAAAATGGCACTCTTCAAAATATGGGTTAACTTACTCCAGTTATTTAACTATTGATTAAACCTGTCAATAATTTTCAAGCAAATAAAATATTTTCTTCCAGTGAGATACAAACCCCTCACTGTAGTAGTTTTTTCTTATTCAAGAAACGTACTCGATGGCAGTTGATCTTTTTTCCTTGTTCCACGGTTGCTACGAAGAGAGAGCCTCTCAATTCTGACGTCAAACTTTATATATACTGTACTTATTTGACAAAGTATAATGTAAGTTCTTCGAAGCGAATAAAACCTAATGCGATTTCCTACCTAGTTCTTCATCTGAATCCAAACAAGCCAGGGCAATAGGTAACATTGTGCACATCAATTCTAATGATTCGAGAAATCTACAATGAACAAGTAAAGAAATAAATTGAAGAAGAAAACTAAATTGAATGCAGTAGACACTTACGTAATATCACAACGATCAATTGATGTATGTGAAAGTAATTTACGAAAATGAAGAACAAGTTCTTCATTGGCACTACGGTATTTTTCATGATGAGCTTTTTCACACTCAATTTCATAAGATGTTTTCGTGGCTGAATGGAATGTCTAAGTAACAAAAGAAAAAGTAAACATTGCTTTATGCTATTCAAGTCAAATTTTCAGTCATTTTTATCTTTACTTGAAGAGTAGTAACACGTGTTGATCCACGAGTATTGTATAATGCATCATGCTACAAAAAAAAAATATTTATGTATATATATATATATATATATATCAGCATAAGATAATGATCATGATGTTTTTTTTGAATTCTACAATTTTGTATTCGACTATATTTCTTAAATAATCTCTTTAAAAAACGTTTACTTTTCATATTTCTATGTGCTAAACGTTTCATACTTTAAATTTTTGTTGTTCATCTTCGTTAAATAATAGACCATGAACACTTGATGTTTCACTTTCCGATGTATTATCATCCGACATGTATGCATCAGCATCCTAGAATAAAATATTGTTCAATAGAAATAGAATTGCTAATGTGATACATACATTTGGAGTTTGTTGTTGATTATGGCTACCGCTATTTGATAAAAGTGTAAAATTATCTTGTGTTCGCCGAGAATTATCGCCGATGCATGAGGGATGAAGAAATTGACGATCTTCATCTTTTCGAATACTACTATGCATAGGCTGATTTGAATATGACAAATGAGAAAATGTCGATGGCATTATTGGAATGGCATTTGGATTTTGAATTGAATTTGAATCATCATTCATCTGATCTGACATGTCTATTTGAGAAATAGATGATTGAATAGTAAATTCGATATATATCTAAAAAAAGTTACTAGGACGATATTGTATTGATGTGGTAGAAACTCTTGTGTATTTGTCATCCATTTCATCAAGTGGTTTATTATCTCCATGTGAATAATCCCTAAAGAAAACAAGTTTGGAAATATACAAAACAATTTAAGATATTTTTACATACGATGAAGAATAACCAGTACGTGTTGGTGGTCGTGAACTAAAATTTGATGCAGATTGGGATCGGCTCGATGATGATTGTTGCTGTTGTTGTGAATCATCGATACGATTCGAGGAATACGTTTGTTGAGAAGATTGATGACTGTAATCATGTAGGTGCTCGTCTAAAATGAAGCAAAGATACAGTTCAACGATACATAGGGTATTATTTTTCATCTTACCATTAAGACGTGATTGTGTTTGTCCAACAAAGTTTGCTGATGTTCGTTGTGATGATACGTGTGAAAAATTTTGTGTCACCTGTGGTTGTCTTGTTGGTTGTTCAGGTGGAGCAACCCAAACACCATCGGCATGAACTGCTGGCGACGCAGAAACCTTGTCGATAACCGATGCATTTTGCGCATGTTGTTGAACCACAAATGTAGTAGGAGTCGTATTTGGTGGTGGAGCCATAGCTAACGATAAGGTATCCATCGGATGAACACGATGAGGTTGAGCTGACTGTAGAAATTCGACAATTTGTCTGGTATTGTTGGGTGGGTCGTGTCGAGGAGGCTATATAAAGAGTAACCATAAATATTTGTAACTTTTTTAATATTGAAAAAAAAACAGGCTTGTTCACTTACTGGAGACTTTGGACGAGCTAGAACACCAACAATAGCCAGTGTTAGAGTGTCATATTTTCCCTTAATAATCATCGAGTCCGTTGGTATCTAAAGATGAGAAATAATGATAGGCTTTAATATAAACTGATTATATGGTTAGTTTTTGAAGTTTACCGAAGTCGATGGATTGTAAACTATATCGTTTTCATCACGAAAAACTTTTCTATATTGTAATAAAAAATAAATATATTATTTTTCAACAAGAATATGTTTTTATCTTACTTTCCAAGTCGTCGATATCTCACTCTATCACGATTAGAACGTACATTTAGATTTTTTCCAAAAAATTCTAATTCGCATGGCATTGGTTTTGTTGCTCTTTGAAGTTTAAAAAAAAAAGAAAATAAATAAATATCATGACAAGCTCTTTCAATTCTTTCCTACCCAATACGTGTAGATGATTTTTCCAAACCAGCCACATTATGGCCAGCTGGTAATACACGAATTTCATCAATATATACTGGTTGATCAAATTTGATTTCATCTACTTGAAGAACCTAGAAAAATAAATTGAAGAATAAGCTAATATGACATATGAGCATATTTCACAAAACCTGCTCGATTTCTCCATCATGAGCAATTGTATCAAAGAAAAGGATTTCTTGTTGAGATGAACTCATCGTTTTTGTATTGTTAACATCTGAAAATTTTAAGGAACTATGAGCACAAGAATATTTTTTAAATCTTATTCAGTTTCATTTACGCATGCACTCTTCTCTTGTCTCTATTTTATTATGACAAATGAGCCAATTGATCATTGGTCAACAGTTCAAACCATTTTCAACACGATAATAGTATGATGCTGGTAACCTGAGACATCTATCAAAGATGCTTGTTGGCAGCCGCATATTAAAAAAGCGTCAACTACGATAGCAATAGATTGATTTAGAAAAAAATGAATCGAAATTAGTAACTAAATTGAATGTCATCAAGAAAATTGTTATGGTAAGTGAACTTTTGCTTAGTCTGTCTCTTTCTCACAACTGAGTTCAATTAAAATAGATCACGTCTTAACTCTTCCATGTGTTAGAATGATAAAACACAATATTATTTCTTAGGAACAGATGGTCTTATAATAATAAAATTGTCTATGTCGCATATAGCTACCTCTAGCATCATATATTGGTGTAGATTCATTCGGATATAGTAGTTCTATTACCAGTTTTTAAAGTCTGATGAGAGATTCTCTTCGTTTTTCAATCTTTATCTTTTATTAATATCTTGGCACGTAAAGCTACGAAAAAGCCTATACTCAGGTCAATGGTCCCGGAGAACGGATACTGCAGGAACAAACAGGAAAATGCGGGAAAGACCACCGTATCGTGCAGGAAAACATTGGAAATCGAAGGAATCGGAAGCAGTATTCTGGCCGGAAATTTTCCGGTAATTTTCCAATGGGTTCCTGCCTGAAAGCACAGGAAATCGCTGGGAATTCACAGGAAAATTTTCGAAAATTTCAGACCGAAATACTGCTTCCACGTTCCAGTGATTTCCGATGTTTTCCTGCCGTTTCCCGCCGTACGAGTTCGACCTGGGTACGGTAGACAACACCATGATACTACTCTCAGATATGGTGAACAGAAATTGATTTTTAGTCAGTTTGTGTACTAGTCAACGGATAAACTCAACGGCCTACGTATATATAACTATCAATTATCAGTATTGTTTGGGTATTTTTCTTCTACTTTACTCAATAATTGTTTGTTGGCCTAAATTTGGTGGAAAAAAAACAAGCAAATTTTTGGCATATATGGTAATAGAGGCCGAGTAGAAAAAACGCACAAAATTATGATCGTACGTATTCATATCCGGAAAAAAAGATAAGAAAGAGATTTCTGTTTTTCATTAGTGAAAGACAAAAATATCTTGTATTGATATAACAATATACAAATGTAAATATAAATCATGGTATACTATGAAATTCTATCATTGAAAGATTTCTTATACTCTAAAATGAAAGTAGAACCTATTCTTTAAAAATAAAAATCATTTGATTTTGAAGAGATCCTAGAGAAAGAGAAAAACAAGGATATAGCTAATGATAAATGATAGATTTCAATAGAAAACCATACAGGGATACGTTTCATCGTTTGCTTACAAGTTTCTTTTGCTTTTATGAAGCAGCATACAAAAAAAAGAATAAACGATTATTAAAATATCATCAAAAAAAGAATAAACGATTATTAAAATATCATCAAAAAAAGAATGTAGTACATTTATTTGAGACTTGACGTAGATTTGATACAAAAAAACATGTAAGCAATTTTACCCAGCTGTTTGAATATAGGAAAATCTTTGTAATCATAAACATAGTGATTAATTATCACATATAATGTCTCTAAAACTCATCGTCATTACATTGTCAGATATAAAGTATAGATTAAATTCTTGACACTCACAATGACCATTCAGAAGAAAGCAAACAGCGTTATCGTAGCTGCCCATACAAGTAATGTTGTCAGTATTGCATTAACAAAATAACCGACTCTGATTTTCCATGTAAATTGAAGTACAACAGGGAAAATTATTCTCGTATGAACATTTCATTTACGTAAATTGAAACATTTTACACTACTGTATGTTGATAATTTCGACGATGTAATTGATTTTGAATTTTTCTCATTACTCAGTTACCATGACGATGTGATGCATGGATGAATAAATATTAAAAAAACGAAACCATTCAGTGGTAATCTTCCCATAAGTCTTGTAAACAACACGTATCAAGCCTCTATAGCTCAGTGGTAGAGCGCCAGTCTTGTAAACTGGAGGTCCGTAGTTCGATCCTGCGTGGAGGCATTCCTTTTTTTTCTCTATTATTCTTGTCTTTCTACGTATGTATGTAGATAAAGAACTGCAACTATGTTTATCTTACTGCTTGACTAATTTTAAGCATTGTGACTTAATAAAACAGTGCAGCATCGACTGAAGAGATTCGTTGTAAAACCAAACGTAATACTATTCAAATAATTAGTAATCATTCTTCTGAAAACTACATCAATACAAAAGCTTTTTATCTAGTCAATCCAATTTTGTAGCTATAATATATCTGCTCAATTTTTTTTCTTCTTTAATTCATTCAAAAAGTTGAAACTATTGAGCGTTTGTTCAACAATGTATTGTTTTGCTTAGATTTTTCTATGGAATGCTTTATTGTTTCAATATTTTAACACAATTTTCTGTGTTTCATCTTTTATGTCAATATCAACTATTTCAAATGGAGTAGAATGCAAAGAAAAACGAATCTACAATATTTTAAAATTCTCCATCGCGAAGTAATGATTTTCTGAAAGCTGCAAAATTAATTGTATCGAATTGTTAAATAAATATAGTAATCATGCATGCATCCTTCAAAAATAGAAATGAAAATTTTCAACATTATCAGCATAAATGAGATCGTAAAACGTTGAAATGAAAAATCACGAAGATAAATTCAAGTGCAATAATATCATTGGGTGCTTCTTTTTAACTTCAGAAGACTGATATTCAGCTATAATAAAATATTCAATATAGATATTTGACGATATCTATTACAGGGAACCTTTTTCAAGCTCACAATACTATCATATTAAACCACAAAGTGAAATGTATTAGTGCTAATCATATTTATTTGTCTATACTTATCAGATGATGCGTAGAGAAAACCACAGCAACATGTAAACAACTAATCAATCAAGAAAATAAAGAAGACAAGACAAACGTTCGACATTCACCATAGAATAGAGAGGAAAAGACCATACACAAGAACACATTTATATCTGTGTTACGAGGGTTTTAACGTGGACGAACAGAGCTACTGCGAACCATGGAGACAGCTCGTGCAGCAGTTGACTCACGGTAATCATCCTAAAGAAAACAAGCATGACATGTAAAGCATCAGTTTTTCAAAGACAATGAGCTCACAGCTGATGTAGTACGATTGGCACTAACTGTCGAACGATTTTTAGCGCGTAATTTGCTCAATTGATTTTCAGCAACATCGGCACGTTCAGCTGAGTCCTCTGTAAATAAAAGACATAACATTTGTATCTAATGCTCATCGTCAATTTAAACAGCCTACCGAGATCTGCTTGAGCTTTTCGATATTTGGCTAGATTAAGTGCTGCAATTTCTTCTAGAATAAGAAAAAACAAATTCCCATTGAAAATACATCCGAATAGATCAATTTCTTTTACTACTCACCAGCTTCTTCAACTTGACGTTTGTATACTTTGATTTTGTTCTGTAATTTCTCTGTGAGATCTTGTAAGCGTAATTGGTTCTTGCGATCTTCTTCAATTTGGAATACAAGTTCTTTCAAACGTCGGTCGTTCTTACGTAATTCCTTGATTGTTTCTTGATGACGATGTTGTTCCATTTCATTTTCATTCTCTAATTCATGAATCTAAGTGTAATCAATTAAATATATATATATATAAAAGAAGTACGAATTTTTATTTAAATATGACGTACACGTTGTTCGAGTTTAGCAATGATACGTTTGCCTCCTTTAAGTACATTGCCTTCAGCTTCATCGAGACGTGTTTGGAGATCTTTGACTTGTTGTTCAAGACCTTTTCGTAGTCGTTCAACATTGATTGAATGCTCTTGTTCTCTACGTAATTCTTCAGCGAGCCGAGTAGTATCTGCCTCTGAAATAAACAACATAGAATACTATTTATGATATTTTCTTCTATCGCACTTACCAGCTCTCTTGCAGCGTTCTTCGACATTTTTCAATTCAGCTACAGCTTCATCCAAATCGGATTGCATAGCAGTTACTGCTGATTCAAGTTGTCGTCGTTGTGAAGATAAATTAGCATTGTGTGTGCTGACTTCACTAATTCGATCAGCCGCTTCATGTAATTCACATTCGGCAGCTTTACGTGCTCGTTCAGCTTGTTCTAAAGCTGTTCGTAACTCTTCAAGTTCGCCTATGATGAGATTAGCGCGACGTTCAGCTGATGCAGCTGCTTCACGAGCTTCATCACGTTGTTGTTGTTCATGCTCGACTTGGGATTGTAATTCAGCTACTGTTTGTTGTAATCTTTTGAGTGATTTTTGTAAATCAGTATTTGTACGATTTGAATGATCTAATGCAGATTCGAGTTCATTGATGTCTGATTCGAGTTTCTTTTTCTGAAAGGAAAAATATAAGTCATCAACAAACGAATTGATAAAAATAGTATTTCTCTTTTTTCATGCCTGCTTAAGAGCTTCGGCTTTCGCTCGGGTTTCTGCTTCCAAACTGGCTTGCATTGATTCGATAGAACGTGCATGATTGCGTCGAGTAGTTTCGAATTCTTCCTCTTTTTCATGAATACGTCGGTCAATTTCTTGACGAATAGTGCTCAATTCCATTTGAGAACGAAGTACTTTAGCTTCTTCCTGTTCGAGTGCTGATTCAGCTTCTTCCAGTGCAAGTTGAATTTCTTCCTTTTCTAATTCAGCACGTTTGCGAGCTTTGTCTATTTCGTGTAATCTATCAAAATAAAATTCGTATAATTTATTTCGATCACTTTTTTGCTTTGCTGACATATCATCATTCGGATGGTTCGCTCGATGTGTTTTAGATGTAATCTAGAGAAACATCTCACTGACTTAGACTCTGAAATAATTTTCAATTATGAGCAAACATTTATATTTCGAACACATTTTACAGCTATTATTAAACATATACTTGAGAAACTTTAGTATTAATAAACACATGATGATTTACTTATACAGTTTTATCCCTTTAGAATTGCTCGGTTTGCACTCTCTTTAATGGATGATTTCTCTGTCTATTTTGTAGTGATGTAAATTAGGAGGTGTACACTTACCCCTTTCCGCCATCGGACAATTGATCAGTAAGATCCTAAACAAAATGAAAATAAATATATATGCCATGTAGATCATATGTTTTACCTTAATTTCATCAGCCAAATTTTTATTTTCTTTACGAAGAGCTTCAATCTGTTCGTGTGACTCTTCGTATTGGCCTCTAATTTTGAATAATTCTGTTGAGAATTGACGTGCTTCTTTTTGTGAAGTCTCCAATTCGACTGTAATATCTTCACATTTTTGTTTCCATTCATTAATAAGTTTATCAAATTGTTTTTGTTTTTTATCCATAGTTGAAGCATCTTTACGATGGGAAGAAATTATTTGTTATACATTATGTTTATCTTTATTTGATTTACTTACTAGCATTAGCACGTTCGACATCAACCATCAAATCTTCGACTTCACCTTGTAAACGAGCTTTGACTTTCTCTAATGCATTACATTTTGATAAAGCTGCTTCAACTTGTTCTTCAGCTTCTGATAATTTGGCTGCTAATTTACGTTTTGCTTCTTCAAGTTCTTCAGCACGAGCCATACCTATTTATAAGAATTACAATGCTAGAAATAGAATAGTACTATTTATAAACCTTCAGATTCATAACGTGATCGCCATTGTTGAACTTCAGTACTGAGTTTAGTTACTTGTCGTTGCAGTTCAACTTTACCCTCTTGTTCTTCTTCGAGTTGCTCACGTGCTTGATCAAGATCAGCCGTTAAGTTACGCAATTGAGAAGCTAACAAATTAAAAATGCATATCCTATTTAAATCATATTCAAGTGTAGTGACTTACCAATAGAACCTTTACCACGTAATTCTTCATCGATTATGCGTTGGGCTTCACCCAATTGTTGTTGTAATTGTATTTTAGTTTTTGTAAGAGCACTTACTTGATGTTCAAAATCTTCAAGTTGTCTAGATAATTCAGAATTTTCACTGGCTAATTTTGATTTTTGTTGATTAACTTCATGCATTTGCTTTGTATGATCATCAACTTTAACGTGCATTTCACTCAATTGTTGTTCAAGTTGTTTGGAAAGTTTTTCAGCGGCACCTCTACCCTTTTGTATGTGATCAACTTGTGATCGTAAATCATCTAATTCAGATTTAACTGTCATTTTTTCTTTTTCTAATTTATTTTTGGTTTTTTGAAGTTGATCAATTTGTTCACCCATTTCTAAAAATAGACATTGTTTAATATGTATTTATGAAATAAATGAAAAACAAAACAAAAAACTCACCAGTAACTGCATCTTGATGTTTCTTACGAAGTTGTGCTGCAGTAGCTTCATGTTGAAGATTAGCTTCTTCTAAATCACGACGAAGTTTAGCCAATTCTGCTTCTCGTTTTTTATTCATTTCAACTTGTGATGAAGTTGCTCCACCAGCATCATCTAAACGTTCACGCATTTCATCAATTTCTCGTGCTAAATCTGCTCGTTGTTTCTCGGTTTTGGCACGTGATTGACGTTCATTGTCAAGTTCTTCTTCAACTTCTTCGACACGTGCTTGTAATTCTTTAATTTTCTTGCTAAGACTAGTTGCTTGACTTTGTTCAGTTTCTAGACGGCTATTGACTTGTTGAATTTCTTGATCTTTTCGTTTGAGAGTATCTTCAAGATCGTGTTTTGATCGTTCGAGTTCTTCAATATTACCTTGTGCTGCTTTAAGATCAGTCTCGACTTTTCTTTTAGATTTGTCAAGATCGGCCCGACTTTTTTTCTCGCGTTCCAAATTTTCTTCAAGTTCATCAAGCGTTTGTTCAAGTTTTGTTTTAAGTTTATTTAAATGATTAACTTTATCTTCTTCTGCTTGTAATTGTTCGGTTGTTTTTGTATTTTGCTCTTCAAGTCGTTTACGTTCACGTGTTAATTTAGCAATGCTCTCATCTTGTTGTGCCATTTCATCTTGTAACATACGAATTTGATTATCTCGTGTTTTGCATTCGTTTTCTGATTTTTGAAGGCTTAAACGTATATCATCAATATCTTTTTTCATTCCTTCAATATCTTGTTCTAATTTCTTCTTCTTTTTATTTAATTCTTGAGATGCAGATTCTTCATCATTTAATCGTTCTTCTACATCTTTGATTTGTTGCTCGAGATCAGACTTTTGAGTTACTACAAAAAAAAATACGCATTAATTATCGGGATCAGTAAAAGTAATGAAAAAAAAACTATACCTAATCGAGTTAAGCGTTCTTCAGCATCACCCATAAGATTTCGTTGTGTTTCCAATTGAAGATAAATTTCATTCTTCTCTAGAAAATTATTCATTAACAAATTGAAACATTCAAGTTGTTATGATTTACCTCGAATCAGTTTTGAATTATTATCTTCCGTTTCTTTACGTAATTTTTCTTCTTTTTCAAATTGTTCTTTGAGTGCTTTAAATTCATCTTCGAGTTTTTTCAACTCATCTTCTTGTCGAGCTACTGACAAGAGTGGCTTAACTTTGGTATATAATTTCCACCATGCCCAGTTGCGAAGTGACAAATATTTACGAATATTACGTTGTAAGACAGACAGAGCTAAACGTTGTTCCAACATTTTCTTGTACTCTCTTTTCATAATGTAACCACGAACTTGACTTTGTAATCGAGCAATGATTCTTGACAATGCTTGATCACGTAAATCTTCAAGATGACCTAATGTTCCAGCCTTGAAGAAGACTTTAGTGCTACCTAATCGGTATAGTTCTTCAGATAAAGCTACATCTTTGAGAATGCTTTCAGTTGCCTTCTTAGCGTCAACAAATCCTTTGGGAATGGCATTGGGTGCCAAAATAGAATAACGTTGTTTGAATTCAGCATAAATTATACGATTTGGAAAGCCTTTACGACAAATACGAATACCTTCAAGTACACCATTACATGTAAGTTGATGCATAACCAAATGTGAATCAAGAACGCCTCCTGTTTTGATTTCATTCGGAATAATACAACGAACAAAATGAGGATGAGTTGATTTCAAATTAGTCATCAATTTATGGAGTGATTCCTATACATAAAAATAATTTGCTTTGTATAAAAATTGAGAAGACCAAAGATTTAGAAACTTACACGATGAGTAGCTGAAATAGTTTGCATACTTCCACCCTTCTTCTTGGCTCCTGCTTTACCACCACCACCACCTTCTTCTTCAATAACATCAGCAAAGAGATGAGCCAACATTGTGCTTTTAGATTTAGCAAAGAGAGTAGCACTAGAGAGACGCAAGAAAATATTTATATAGTAAACATAAATATACTGCATTAAAAGTACATACACAGTAGTGTTAATAGGATCTTTGTTCTTTTCAAGCCATCCGGTAGCAGTGTATGGGACAGAACCAGCATAATGATGAATTTCAAAATGTGCTTCTGCTTTACCTTTTGCAGGTTTGGGTTTACCGAATTGTGGATGTTTTCCTAAATGATTATTGTAAAGTTTTTCGACGAATGTCTTATCTGTAGCCTTTGGTACGATACATTCTTCTTCCAGAATCGAAAGAATACCCATAGGCTAAAAAAGAAAAAGATTTAGATGACTACAAATAAAGCAAATCTATCACATGTATCATACCTTTTCGATCAAATCAATACAAGCTTGAAGATCCATACCGAAATCGATAAATTCCCATTGGATACCTTCTCTTTTGTATTCTTCTTGTTCTAATACGAACATATGATGATTGAAGAATTGTTGAAGACGTTCATTAGTATAATTAATACATAATTGTTCGAAACCATTGTACTATATTGTGCACATAGGTTACAAATCATCGAGAAAATAGTCAAATACTTACGTTAAAAATTTCAAAACCAGCAATATCGAGCACACCAATAAAATATTGTCGTTTAGCTTTGACATCGAGAGTTGTGTTAACACGCTCGACTAACCAGCAAAACATTCGATGGTAAATCTTAAGTGTACGGACATCAATAGAAATGTATTAGAAAATTGATATGAGAATAAAATAATAAAATTTCGAATAGGAATTCATTATTCGTTCTTCTTTGACATCTAATTTTTAATACTTTGTTCTTATCTACACATTGTGTAAATATAATCGATAGGATATTAATCAGTGAAATATTTGTCTGAAAAATCATCTGAGAATCTTTATTAAAGTAACTCAAATCTAAAACATACTTCTATGTATCATCGAAATATCAATCTTTGATAGATATCTTTCTTCAACCGAATAATCTATCATCGGTAGTTAAGATTCATCAATAACATGAAAATCTAACGAACACGAAATAATAATACTATTTCATTGTTCAATCCGTGTCGATATTTTTTTCAAGTAGTAAAATAATAAATCAATTAGAATGATTCAACGTACCGATTTGGATAAAGCACCGATTGAGTTCACAACTTGATCTTTATTTTGACCTTTATTGACGAATTCGTTACCAACCTATAGAAAATTAGAAAATTTGGATAAGTTGTTAAAACAAGGAACGATGAATACAAACCTTGATACGAGGTTTAAGTAAACCTTTAATAAGTTCCGCAGCATCGACCTCAAGTAAATGCGCAACCTTTTCACAGTCTTCTGTAGTTTCAGCTTCTGCTTGCTCTTCCCGAGGTCGCTGTTTCCATTGTGAATTACCAAAGTGCATAATGGCAGCTGTACACTTGTACATACTATTCTTTTCTTCCTATAAAATTTTTCCAAGTTAATCATTTCTTTTTATTTCATGAATATCTTGTACAAACCGTTGTAAAGCCAAGTGTATCAAAAGCCTCATCGGTGATACGCATTTCTTCAGCATCATCTACACCATCAATGACAACCATACCTTGGGATACAAACTGATATTTTAATGGATCAGTTTGAATAAGACATAGTTCTAGAGAAAACAAATTGGAATAATCAAATCAGACAATCAAGTAAAATATGCTAGAGAGACATACTGTGCATTTCCGGAAATGCAGTGGAGCACATTTGATAAAAAATATGATAGTTGCGTTCAGCTAAAAATGAAAAGATTATATTATATTCAATTTATTCTCGGCACACCTAAATTAGATTTTACCTGGTTGCTACAAAAGAAGAAAGGAGCAATTTAATCATCATCATAAAGATCGATTGTATGAATAAAATATTTTACCTGAAAGATGACACGAGATTTCTCGAGTAGATATACTTCAATATCAGCACCTGCAATTTTTCCTGTAGGACCAAAGTGAATACGAATAAATTTTCCCTATAAGTAATACAGAATCAATGTTATTACTAATTTTTGTAGACAAATATTGAATAGAGGTGAATAGTGAACATAATTTAAACAGAGCAAACAAGCAGACATGCAGATTAGAGTATTCCACGCAATATGAACCACTCTATGGTAATTTCTTGAAAACAAAGAATTATCATAGACTTTTCATTCGTTATCGAGCGATTTTCGTCACTTACAAATAGTGACAATATATGGTTTGTGACATTTTTCATCGGTATTTGGGAAAAGAGGTTTGTTTATTGAATGTATTATTGCTATAAGAAAGGTAAATTGGGTTCAATATTATCATATTGGTAAAGTATGAATATTCAATAGTTTGATTTTCAAAAACTAAATGTCTATAATAAGCAAGACGTATATGTTGATGAAAATAAATTTGATGATCTCTAGGTGTAAGATATTGGAGTATGGGTGAAAGTAAAATAAATCGATAACTTTATGCATGCTCTTGGTTGGTCATAATTTTTTGAAAGCAAACTAATAATTGTGATGAAATTCTCAAAGCAAAACTGTGGAATTTGTTTTAGTGAAACTATTCAACTTACAAAACGAGAAGAATTATTGTTTCGAGTTGTTTTTGCATTACCATAAGCCTCCAAAGCCGGATCTAATCAAACGAAAATAAGTATATAGATAAAAATTAATCTGAGAGAGTTCGGAAAAAAATACACTTACTAGCTGAAATAATTTGATCTTCAAGAGTCATTGTTTTCTATTTTAATCAAGAGAAAATTTATAAAAAAAAATTGAGTTTATTTTTTTAATCGCATACCTTGGCGCTATCGTCTTTCTTTACACTAGCAGCAGCTACCAAAGCGAAATATTGAATAACTTTCTTTGTATTTTCTGTTTTGCCAGCACCTGATTCACCAGTAATCAACATAGATTGATTTTCACGATCTAAACAATATTTTTTCATAGAGGAGTATGAATTAAAATAGGATTTATAATTAAGTGATTAGCACAGAATATTCTACAATGAGTTGAGTATTTCTAAAACATCATGAATCACTTATATGTACTAAATGGTAGTAAAATGAGAATTCTGCATACTATACTATTATAAAATAAAAAGAAGTATTCTCTAATTTCTTATGCTTCTTAGAAGTTGATATTCAACATGTGCGAATATATATATTGTGTAACTTATTTGATTCTATGTGTCTTTTATATGAATCTATTCTATAAAACTTTGCACTTGCAGAATAGTATCATAGAGAATATTAAATTTTAACAATCGTAGAAAAGGAGTTTTTATTAGTAGAAGCCATTGGTTTGGTCAGATATCTACATATTTCTTTCTTTTATTCTTGTAATATCTGTTTAGAATGATTTTAATTTACTCTTAATATAAAGAATTTTCAGTATATTTAGGAGCTTAACCATCATTTTATATCGTAGCGATCATATTTTTATTATGAATTCAAATAAAATATCAAGCAACTATTGAAAAATATTCTAAAATCATCTATTTATGGGCAACTCATTACATAATTTTTTTTTTCGTTTGTTCATATTTTATTTTACTTTCTCAACTGAGATAGATGTAAACTATTGCAGCTTTCGTTACTGCTAGATACATAATTCAGTTTGTATTTGTACATGAATGTTAAACATGAACAAATGGTATCGTATGAGCAGATACTGGCGAAGTATTGTGCAACAGAAAAAAATATTCCGTTTAAAAGAATATCTTCATCATTTGTTTGTTGTTCTACATGTTTTAAAGAACATAAGAGAATACTTGTTTTCAACAAGTATGTCAGATCGCTGTGTGAGATCAAATAATCGTATTTCCTGGAGCGAATCGTGTCTTTTACGGAAAGTTCATTGTTCACATTGACTTTTCTTATGTTAACGTAATTGGGATTTGTCAATTATTCAATCTTATTTATCGCGTAATAGAATTTGATTCAGCTGTATAAATAGATATTCGGTAACATAAACTAACATGAAATTAATTTATGACTTGAATATCAGTACATATCGAAACTATCGGACCTTTTTCATAAAGATTTATCAAATATGAAATTCTAATTATCAAAACATATAATGTTTGAAACTTTGTTTGATCATTCTTTTTTTAAGTTGTGTTCTATCTCATGTAAAACTCTGTTGAATACATTAGCTCTGTAAATGTATTCACTAATTAAGATACAATGAGACATGAGAGGAGAGCATTTGTGGAGATGAATATCTGATAACAATGTTTCAATATATCTAATTATTCACTTAGATAAAAACAATTACTAGGTAACTATAAAGATGTTGAAAAGAAAATAAACATCATTTAACTATATTTCAACTAGTTACTTTGGTTCTTTTTTTTCTTGAGATAGTCAGATTTTCTTAATTATTTTATATTCGTCACAGTATCACATCTGTGATTTGATAAAAAATAATCTCCCCAAGCTCTTGATCTAATCACAACAAACAAGTTGCATCTGTTGATGGACGTATTATTTTTCTTTCTCTCTCTCTCCCTCGGTATACATCTACGTAGGTGATAACAACCATACCGCAAATGTCTTTCGGTTTTTCTTAACCCATATCCTATTTCGTTCATTCGCTTTTCCCTCATATACTGATGTTGATCCAGACGTGGATACGCCTTTCGTGACATTCTATCAATGAAGAATATTCAAGGACATGTCCTTTTTCTCCATATGACGTGTATCATTATCAGGTGATCTTTAATGCGAACAATTGCTTTCTCGATCAACATGGTTGTTTACAGTGTGATACTCACCACGAAGCATGTTCGAATAAGCATTATCAGCAATGGCATACAGATGTGGTGCAACTTCAGTGCGCTTCTTGCCACGATACATCATAACTACTTTCATTGTATAAATTGGCAAGCGTTTGTATGGATTAATGACGACGCAAAATAGACCTGAATATGTCTAAAAATATTTTAAATGAAAATAAATATCTATTTTAAGAACAGAAATATTAAACAAACATAGATGAGCCAACGTGCATAACGATCGCGTAAATTAGCCAAAACTGAGCCATCGTTTAAATAGGTTAAATCAGCCATATCATCAGTGCATGAATACTTTGGTGGATTCATCTGTTGAACATTATCTTTTTTTACTGTAACAGTCTAGAGAAAAACAAAATCATGGATAACCGTTCAATTAATGTAAACTAAAAATATTTACCTCTCCCTTGGCAGTTTTTATTGTTACATCATCACCTTTTGTACTCACAATTTCACCAGCAACATAAGACTCTTTTGCATCAGGTGCCCAACATGCTTTTTTACCATCGAATGGTTGAGCCTGAAGTTTGATTTTTTCTTCTGGTGGGAGAACCAGAAATTTCATTGCTTCTACCACCTCCGGATCATGATGATCATAAGTTGAGGTCATTGTCTGAATTTCTTTGAATAATCGTTAATATACCAGATTATTCAATTTGATCAATGAAGATTTTTCTCGTTGTTAATATTCAAGAATGAAGCGCACTGAATTGCGTCCCAGAAATGATTGTGCTACTAGTATAACAAACAGTAATATACTCTCGATATTAAGAGAGAGAGAGAGAGAGAGAGAGAGATAATAAGAGAGAAAATATTCTCGCCAAAAAAAACCTAGCCCTCACTAAACAACACTGATAGAGCATATAATAATCACTCTCTCCAAAAAAAGCCACAGAATTTCTTTGTTCCAATACCATAGCACAATTGAAGATCGGAAGAATGGTAGAGATTTCTTATTTATTTAATCCAATAATATATTAGTAGAACAAAAAAATCTCCTGAATGTGAGATGTTTTTTTCTGGAATAGTTTTTCCTCTTTCTGCTATATAATCCATAGTGCAGTCGTGATTATAAATATCCTGTATTAAGCCATGTACAAATTAAGAATATATGACAAAAATAGATTTATAGAAGCTACACAAAGCATCTTCTTTCGTATATCCAAAAAAATAGTTATGTGTCGTGAGCTAGTCAGATTTGATTCTTGGTTCTGTTGTTACTTTCTTACTTGCGCTATTTCATTTCTGATTGATATCATTTTGGATTTACCGATTAAGAGTGAATAATGTATAATAATAAACATCATACAAGAATGAATATAGTATCAATACTTAATATTAAGAAAAACAAAAGATTGATTAATCAATATTCAAGATATTTTTAAGCATAACATAACGATAAACTGGAGAAACAAGACACTGAAACCAATAATATAGTATAACGAATCGAAAGAATATCATGAAACAATTATTTTAGCTCTTTTTATCCACTGAAGTAATGAAATGAAGTTCATCTTATACTATTGAATAATAAAAAGATCTTCAAGTTTTCTAAGTAAACAAATTTTCATTTATTGCAGTCGTATATTTCATCTTGGATACTCTCTTTCGTTCTTATACGTTTTTATTTTGTTAATATCTGCTTGAAGAATTCAAAATGTAGCAATTCACAGATTTTCTTTTGAGGATGCTTACATCTATATTCACAACTCGGTTTTATTACAGGTTCCTACATCAACGAGAATGATCTCAAGGTTGCAGTCAAGAAAGTAGGAGGAAAAAAGAGTGGTGAGTAGAGCTAATAATGTGAAGGCGATATAATCACAAAAAGATAGGAGAAACAAGCAAGACAAAGAATTCTACATATATATATATATATATAATTATACACTGATATTTAATTGCTTACTGAGAAACCTTGACTCAACATATGAAGAGCAAATGAGCCTCGATTTCATGACAAACTATCGAATATGTATTCCATCAGTGGATCACTTTTTGAAGCGTAGAATTTCAATGAAAAACAAAATATTCATTGACATTTTTCAGAAGAACGAAAACTAATATGATGTAGATTCAAGCATAGAGAGTATAATCATTTTACTCGATAAATAATAGTATTTTTTAATCTTATGATCTACATATATGCATACATATCTACAAATTTCTAATTAGTTTGATTTAACACGGCAAAATAAATTCATTCGTAGCAGATACTATTGGCATTATCATTAGATCCATTGTTTTTTAAAGAAGAGATGAGATAATTGAATCTCGCCAGTCTCCTGAAGGACTAGATACGATCTCACACATGATCATTCTATTTACTTGTCAGTTTACGCCGAGAATCAGCTAATGAATCTATTTCAAATACATCTGTTTCGTCTCATGTGAAAACACAGAGACAACGAAAATTCTATTTAATTAACACAAGAAGATGATTGTCGCATGTGAAAAACAAAGATATATCCGATGGAACAGATTAATGTATTATCGCGTTGGTAAACGACAAATACATTTTGATATGCACAATTTGATTTTATAGAAATTCTACCAAACAATGACAACGATACTTATTACTAAATAGAAAAAAAACTTCGAAATAAAGGGACAATGCAGAGAATAATGAGACATTTCAAAAATAAACCTGCTAGTCAATCTTATTTTAAAATCTTACACGTCATTAGAAGAGTGCAGTTAGCATACGTATTTTTGTGTACTGTTTCTTGCCATTGAATGGATTCCACGTTATTTTTTTATAATAATAAGCGAGTTTTTTTGAGATTTTATTTTTCAATATCGACTCTTGCTCTATAGTGCGAATAATGGAACTTCTGAAATCAATTTTCATACAATCATTCGTGCTTACAACGACTCTCCATATTAACAAAGTTAAAGTTATATTATCGTTTAGAAAACGAAGAATATCAACAACGACAGTATTTCTTTTTGTTTTTATAAATGATGTAACAGACATATCTTCAACACAATTCGAATAGACATGATTTATTATAGTACTTTCCGATCTCTATTTTTAATTTTGCTTGCTGTAAATTAATAAACAGGTACATAGACAAAAACAATGTACAAAAAGAATCCACGCACATATATGTAAATAGATCTTAACAGCATCAATAAATATAAACACCGGAAAATAATGACAAATTTTAGTCCCAAAGTTTGACGACATTATCCCATCCAGCTGTAAGAACCCTTGACTTTTCATGCCAATGCCATTTAGCATCAATGCATACATCATCATGAGCTTTAATTTGTTCAAAAATACGTGTTGTTTTCCAATCCCAAATAATTAGACGTCCATCTGCATCACCACTAATCAAATAAGACATATCTGGTGAAAAATCTAAGCCACATGCGTAACCAGATACCTACATATCAATATAAAATATCAGTGTATTTGATTAAAAACTCAATGATTTCTTACCATATGTCCTTTGAATATTTTTTTGCTCTTCCATCGAAAATTAGCCAATGGTTCCATAATTCGAATTTGATTATCCATAGATTGAAACGCTAAATATTTACCTAAAATAAAAGCTTTTAAAATTAAGCATCATATATTAGCGAAAAGCAAACAAACCATTTCGTGATTGAGCAACAGCTGGCATTGAATGCATTGTTGGATCAGCAATATATTTAAAATCAACCGGAATATTCCTAAATAGAGTTTTAAAAACAAAATATAAATTCACTAGGTTCAATATTGTGATTTTTACCATTCCCAAACACGTATACTTTTGTCATCGGACGTTGAAACGATTCGACGATTTCGATCAACAAATGTAACTGTATTTATAGCACCCAAATGGCGATCATACTCTTGTACAACATGACCACTTCGAATGTCAAACTATATATGGAAAATCATCAATACATGATACATGAAAATTTAACAAAATCATGAAAGCTTACACAAAGAATTTTCTTGTCCGACATACCACATATAAATAAATGTTGTTTATGTTCACTTGGATTAAATGATATGCAATATGGTATTTTACGCATTGGAAATTTACTTTTTACTTGACCTATTGTATTAAAATTCTGATGAAAATGTTTACTGAGAGAAAAATCAAGTTTGTACCTGTTTCTGTATCCCATAGTTTAACAGTTTTATCATATGATGCTGATAAAAATTCTGTGCCTGCATTATTAAAACTAACATCTCGCACGGCTTGACTATGTCCAGAAAATGTTCGAATACAACGACGTTCATTATAGAATTCCCATAACTAAATCAAGATAAAAACAAAATATTGTTTCATTTTAGACAATTGTTAGACTTACTTTGACTTTGCAATCCATTGAACAAGTTAGAAATAGATGAGCAGAAACAGGAAAATAATGAATCTTTTGTACAGCTTTTGTATGTCCCTTGTATATATGTATACATTGTTTTGGAATAAAACATCGTTGGGGTCCATGATCTGAACGTAGATTAACACCAACATCTTGTGGTATATGAAGATATGATCGACCTTGATAATCATATGGGTCTTTAATGTGTAATGTTGATGATGATGGATCTTCTGCTTCTTTATTTAATGTTGTTGATTCAGGATCGCGAGCAGATATTGGAGCATGTTGATCTTCTAAATTACGTCGTTTTATCTTCTTTCTTTTAGCTAGATGTTCATCGATTTCCTTTTGCTCTTCCTTAAATAAAAAACATGATAGACATTCAAAAAAAATCAAGTAAACAAAAGTGCAACGAATGGTACCTCCGATGGACGTGATACAGTGATTTCATCAACATATGGAGCCCATGGGCCTTGATAACGGTCAACATCACTTGAATCATTGTTCTTTTCTTTTTTTCTTTTTTCATTCAAAAGTTTTCGACTGGTTTCAAATATAGTTTTGCCTTGATTTATTTCAGCACTAACTTGATCACCAATAATCTGCTGTGTTGGATGTTCTCCAACGCTGGGATCAGCTGCATAACCAAAACTATCAAATGTTCGCCGTTGATTTTCAAATTGAAAATCACTCAAAGTAGTTGATTCAACATGACCATTAATTGTATTTCTATGGCTACTTTGCTGTTGTGTTAAATTGGGATTCGATGGGCCAAACTAAAATTAGTTTAGTAGTAATTTCTTCATTTTTGTTTTCATGAAAAACTATTCTACTTACTACTGGTGCATACATATCTTCATATTTAGGATTGTATTGGACTTCTCTTGTTCTAATATCTAGAAAACTGCTTGTATCTTCTGGCTAGAAATGCAAAAGGACAAATGTGTTATGATTTCATATAATCCTAGAAGGATAGTCTGATCTGTTATATATATGTATATTTTTTTTTTCCTGCTATTCTTACTCGGACAGCAATAGCTGGTGTCAAATTAAGTTTAATTTTTGACATGACAGAAAATGTTGGATCATTAATAACAGCCATTCGATCATTTATTTCTTCTTCTGCAATAGTTTTCTCATCGTGTTTGCCATCATCATCATCATCATCATACAATGCTTGAATTGCTGCAAGAGCCATCTAGAAAAGTCAAAAAAAGTAAGAAAACATTCAAATAAATACACTTTTAATTGACTGATCTATATGTTAAAAAAAAAAAGTTATACAATGATGATGAACATGAAAAAAAAGCGAAACAAAAAACTTCATTCTTCGAATTGTTGCTATTCTGGAGAAAGAAAGGACACAGTGTAAATATACAAAAGGGGAAAAAAGAGAAAATAAACGTTAATTATGTACAAGAATATAAATAAATAGAGATCAGTTTTTTCTCTACAGCATAGATATTGATCTTCTTTTACGTCAAAATACAATATGGCATTAGTGTTGTTGAGCTTACATTCTCTCGACATAGAGGACATCGAGATGAGGTAGCTAATAATTGACGAGTACATAATGTACACATAACATGACGACATCGAGTAATTATTAAATAAACACCTGTACGTTGTAAATGATTTAGCGTTTCTAGACAAATTGGACATTGTTGTACATCAATAGATAATTTACGCTCACATGAATTTGATGAACAAGAAATTGAAATAAATTCATCTTCTGTCAGATCTATCAATTCATTATCACTAATATTATCATCAACATCGGTAAGAATTTCAAGAGATTCAGGACAATCGTCATTAGTTACTTGTTGTTCGTATTCTTCTTCGTGTGCTAATGAAAGTTCAACATTAACCTCTCCTTCAACAATCTCCACATCTTCAATATCAAATGAAGCAATGGACATATTAATTATGGAGGATACTGATGAAGGTATATCATGAGTAACATCGCTGCGTTGATCATCATCCGAATTAGAAACAATAATTACTTGATTATCATTTTGGTCAACAAAAATATTAAAACTTTCCTGTTCAATTTCGATAATATCATCATCACTATTATGTTCATTTTCACTAAAATATTCAGATAAAACAGTAAATAAATTGATTTCAGTTCCAAGATAGATCTCCAACCTGGCGAGATTAAAAGTCACTGGTGAAGCTATAGGATCATCAATAATTATTTCTTCTTCTGCATCGTCGGCTTCTATATGAGTGTCATTATTTAGTGGTAAAATTGGCGAAGAAATAAAAATACGATGACGTTTCGGTGTTGGTCCAAATTCATCTAAAGAGATTTGCGAATTTGATAAAGATGACGATGAAGGTGGCGACGAATCAAAATGTCGTTTCATTTCCTTTAATCAAAGCATTGCTATCTAAAGAAAAAATGCATGAAATAATAACCAAGATAATCTATTTACTACAATTATAGAAGATGAAAGAAACAAACGGAAAATAAATTGATGAAATAACTCTCGAACGCAACGACATTTCATATGTAATGATTCAAGTTTTATTTATTTTTTCTGAATGGTTAGGGATACATGTATAACGCGAAATGCATGGAGAAAAAACAATAGATGTCACTGAAATTATAGAATTTATTAATCAAGTTATTATTTGATAAAAAGAAATCTTTTAGATAAAAATTGATCTTAAAAATCAAACTATCTCTTTATTTTCTCTTTGAAGCTATTTCAGAAAAAAAGAACTGAACATTATCTATGATTGGGTATGAGTCAGTGGGTAGGATTATTTTTCATTATGTCATGTCAAGTAATTTCAATTTCATTTAAATGATGACTTACAACGAAGTATATGATATGCCTGATGATCTTTTCCTCTAATATAACTTCGGATGATTTTTACACAAGCACATTTTATTCATTGACTGTAATAAACCAAATCAAATTGTTTAATTATAGATTATTACTGCAAAAATGTGCAATCGAAATAATTTTACTCATCGTGGTGGTGGTAAAAACTATAGTGATCCAATATCATCTCGATATTATTCAAAATATAATCAACGTGGTGGTCGAAAGAATTATTGTCCAGAGCCAAAGCGTCCTGTAACTTATGGAGATGACGTTGATACACTTATGACAACGTTGAATCATACTCTTACAACGAATTCAAATTCAACTGAAGAATTCTCATCAACTCTACAACCTCAAAAGTTTCGCCCCACTCGTCCCACTCGTCTCACTCGTCGAGATAATCAACAAAAGCGATTCCAAATAAATCAAACAGGATGGTGGCGTGTGTCAATTCAACAAGCTGGTGCAATCGGCAAAGATCGTGTTATGTCAACACTTAAAGCACATTGTCCTCGCCAATTTCAAGCCTATCATGTAAAGAATTATCTGATATGTAATATTTAACTATTTATTTTATTGATTATTTTTCTAGTATTTCATTGATCCTCATACAAAAGCAGGTGTTTTCTTCGTCAATAGTCAACATGATGCTAATATGATTAAACGTACTAATGGGGAAATTGAAGTTCAAGGCTTAGATATAGTAAATAACACAAACAAAATCAAAACAATGATTTAATTATTGTTTTTTAATTTTCTACAGCTTCGTATTATGGTGGGTCGAGTTTCGACACCAATACCGTCATTGGATGAAGATTTAAGACCACATTTTAAAGTAAACAAGTCGAAAAAGTAATCACATCTTTTTCATTATGTGTACGATTTTCAGGATTATTTACTTCGTCGCCGATTTAATCAACAAACATTTCAATTAGATTTATCAAATTTAGCTGATGATGAAGGTAACATCAATACTTGACATTAATTTTAGTATTCAAATTTTACATATTTAGAATTGAGTTCTTTGGGTATTTTCCCTCAATTCAATAAGCATGCATTCATACGTGATGTTATTGCTATCATTAATAAAGACATTCCTATGGTCAGTACTAGTAGTATTTGATTTATTTATAACTTTGAGTTGTATTTAGACGCGACAATTAGATTTTGGCTCAAATAATATTATGAATTTATATGAATTTCGGAATCTTCATCTCAATCAATTAATGCAACTAAGTTTTGCTTCAAATCAAGTTTGTGACTAAAAAAATAAATGCAGTTTTTCATTATTTACTTTTTTCAGTTAAAAAATGTTGAAGATTTTGATAATTTGAAGCACTTACGTCAATTAACTCACATTTTTATTAAAAATAATCCATTAACTTCACCCAATAATACACGCAGTTATTCAATGGATGATATAATCAGGTCAGATCGATAATCTTTTTTCTTTTGTCTTCATGGACATTCAAAAACAGAGAGACAAAATTAAGTATTTTCTTAAATCGAAATTTTTACTTTCTATTATTTATCTTTTGTTCTCAACATATCATTCGATTTCACTTGAATACAAAAAAAATAGAATATTCATCCCATTGAGTTCAATTTAACAAAAAAAATCAAAAGAAACGAAAATACACATTAACATAATCGAGATCGTTTAATTACATTAAGTGAAAGAATGTGAGAGTGTTTTGTACGTCGAACATTGATTCAAGTATGAATGTGACAAAAGAAAACAAAGATATCATTGTAAAAATTCTAATTTTTTTTTTATTGTTAATGATATTGAAGTTTTTTGTACCTCGAAAAAACAAAAATATTCTTTTCCAATCCATCGACCAACAACCTAAAATCAATTTATTTTATACTTCAATCAAATAGATATCACATTCAATGTCTAAATATGTCAAAATAATGACAATTATAAATTAATCATAAATGATTAATAATTAATCCTTTAGGATTTATTATACAATCAATATCAATCTGTATGGTTGATAGAATTTCATTCTATTGGTTATATTATCGAATGTTTGACATTCGAATATCGAAAAATGAAAAAAAATAATAAACAAGACTTCGGTGAATAAATATTCATAACATAATGTACTTGAACAACTGAACAACAGCGAATGAACATGATTTGATTATTGTTTTCTATTTATAACAAGAGAATTTATTATTGTAAAATGTAACAAACGATCTCGATAATGATTAGAATTGTATAAATATAATAAATCGATGAATTATATATTGGATTACATGTGAATAAGAATGATGTATAGAGAAGTAAAAGATTTCAAATATAAAAGAATTCGATTTAAAATCGCCAGAAAAATCAAAACCATAAGGCGAAGGACTATTTTGTTGCTGTTGCTTGGGTGTCTATATTTTCAACTTTATTCTGCAATAAATATCGATCAATTTTGGTCCATCTAATCCCATTCTAGTAATATACAGCAAAAATTACCACAACTCAAACGCATCGTATGTTTTGTATCCTGTTGAATAATGGATTAATAAATATTATTTTTCTTTTTAAAGGATGATATTGATCTTGCACCAACTATTCGTTTTGCGACTGATATTGATACAATTGCATTGCCAAAAACGTTGCCCTATTGTGTACCAAATGAAATGCAAGGATTTTTAGCAAGATTCATTGAAGAATTCTATCGACTATTTGATACACGTGGTCGTAGCGAATTGCATGCATGTTATCATGATTTATGCATGTTTTCATTATGTATTACCAAATATGAAGATTCACATGTTCCAACACGACAATTTAAATATGGCGGTGGATTAATATCTGATTCAAGAAATCTACTAATGGTTAATGATAATAATAAACGTATTAATCTATTACGACACGGTAAAACAGCTGTATTGGAGTATTTCACAACGAAATTTCCCTATACTAAACATGATGGAAATTCATTTCATGTTGATGTCATTACAACCGCAGTAATTAATAGATGAATTATTTTTATTGAATATTATATGTTTTTTAATTTAGAATAATCGAGCTATTTTTACTATCAATGGTCTTTACAAAGAAGGTAAATCATAAGTGAATTTTAATAGTTTTGATTTTGTTTATGAATTTGTTGTCTTAGTGGATCACGTAACACACAATCCTATACGTTGCTTTCAACGTACATTTACTTGCGCTCAAACTGACAGCGGGTAAATATGAATTATTTCTCTGATTTAATCTAATTATTCTTATTTAGTGTACACATCATAGCTGATCATATTATGTTAACTAACGCCACTGAAGCTCAAATATCAGTATGTATAATTTTGAATTTAAGCTCTGCACAAGAGTAAATTTTTTTTTTTTTGTGTTAATAGAAAATGACTCAGTCATCATCATCATCATTACGTACTTCAAATAATCAAGATACTCCAAATACTAATACAGACAAGCAAAATCAAGCCATGATCTATAAATTTTCTCAAGAATCAGGCATGAATATCGAATATTCAAGACTGTAGGTTTAATACTTTAACATATGATATTTCAGTAAGAAATATGCTTTCTCAATATAGATGTTTAGAACAAAATAATTGGCATTATAATAAAGCGGCAGAGGTTTATCTTGACTTAAAAAATCAAGTGAGTTTTCGTTATGGTTTTTAGTTCGTTTTCTTTTAATAGATTTTATTTCTATTTCTATTTAGAATAAGATTCCAGCTGATGCTTTCAATAAATCTTGATTTGATTGTTATAATTATAGACTTTGTTTCCATAGAAACTACACATTATTTTTGTTTTCTTTCTTTTTTTTTTATAATTTTGTTTTCTTTTTTGAAACTGAAGTGTATTCATATATATATTTGTTTTTTTGACTCCATGAACGAAGCTTACTAGTGTAACTGTGCTAAACATTCAATAAAATTTGAAAAAAAAAGAGATTCTCCTGTCAAAAATAAAATAACGGCATGATTGTTAAATAGAAGTTGTCTAATTTACAAAATCCATTCTGAATTTCAACGATTGATATTATTTCTTCTTTACCAAAGTAATTCAAAGATATTTTATTTTCATATAAGAATCGATGAAAATAGTTTGATGATTCAATTCTAATCAGCTAGTTTCGTAATTTTAGAAAATAAATTTATTATTGATTCAGAAATATATACAGTATCTTAATTCGAGCACCAAAATAAAGAGTAAAATACGTATCATGTATCTGTCAGACGTAAACTTGAAATGCTGTGCTGAAATTAGAAATAAAACACATTGAAGGTACAGTTTAGATATTAAAAGTTTGATAACATCTACGTGTCAACGCATAGAAATATGTTGGAGAAATGTGCAAAAGCATAACAGAATTCACCTTCATAGATCTTGGAAACTGAATTGTGGATGTTTTCAAGACTATCAGCCACTCTTTTTAGTACATACCATATCATAAAAGAAAAGAATTATTTTCTTTGATAAGTAATTCTTATGATACACCAAATTTCTAATAACTTTTAATCGTTTGCCATCGATGAACAAAAATGATTAAATCTACTTGAAAAGTCAATCTCAACAAAAATAGATCCTTTGAATCTGAAATTTTTTTCTATATATAATGAATTAATTATTAGGTGTTTTTTGTTCGTAGTTCAGTTTCTTTCATTGTTATCCAGCCAGAAAGTAAATCACAAAAACTCATTAAAACTATTATTAATCATTTATAACAGTTCATGATAATGAGATCTTTAATAATGGAAATAGTGTTATTCTAAGTAGAAGAAACTGTACTCATCGATGGTCAATGTTTTTTTTATCGCTGGATAATCTTCTGTATAGTTATTTCTTTAGTAACCTATTTGAATAATTATTTTATTCCACTGCGTTTGCAGAGGGAATACAAACAAGAAAAAAAACACCGCACATACTCATGAGAAATTATAGCGAACACGAGAAAAAGATTCTTTTTACACTATTGACTAAAGTCAAGTATGAGAATAGGAATCAACACGGCATGACATGAAATATAAAATCTAGCAGAATGAACCAAACTATTGCTATTTTGAGTTTCAAATAGTTACTACAGCAAAAATCAAATCTGATTGACTCTCTAAATTATTTGCTCTGTTTAATCAAGTCGATATTTTGTTTCAAATACAAAATATGAATTTTGTTATTATACGATGGTTAAATTATACTTTTAAATTAGGTAAATCGAAAAAAAATCTAATGGAGTATACGGGTTGTATGCTGTTTAAAAACTTCATCGAAAGAAAGAATGCTATCGGCTATAATATATGAGACACATTGAATATACATGTTCTCAAAAGAGTTACACTCATGAAACTATCAATTATTGAATGAAAACAAGACATAATCAGGAAAAAAATAGAAAATTCCTCATGTTCTTAAATATATCTGAATAATTGAGAAAGATAGTTAATGTGTTGTGTTACATGTCATAGAAAAGTCATTCGACAAAGCAATAAAAAACGATAGATACTTATTAAGATAAAAAAATCTCTACGAAGGACAACAGTAGCAATTACTACGTGGTAGTTAAACGATGCTTTAGTAAGTTCAATATTGACTAGTCTTTGAAGTCTAATTTGCATAAATTTTGTCTATGGGGAAAAAGTCGATTAACATATAAAATAAAAAAGTACTTTCATTATTAAAACAATTTCGTGTGTGAAGTTTATGTAATCTATAGGAGAAAAATACATTTGTACTGGTATTTTTCAAATACTATCGAGATATAAACTATTATAAATCAAAGATAATCAACTGCATAACTGACATTTCACGAAAGAACAAGTATTAGAGAAAAGTGAAAAGTTCAAAACTAATTAGAATAGATAGATATTGCCAATTGACATTCAGATCAATATGACAAACAGTTATCAATTGTTAGATAAAAAAACTTTTTTTTATTATTAAAAATCTCATGTTAGATGTAGTGAAAACAGTGACGGGATAAACATCGATGTATATAAATATTTAATAATACTATTTTCTTTCATAATCTTTTACAATTCATCATAGGTTAGCGTATATATATATATTTTTACAATAAGAGAATTGTAGATGGTAGGATCTTTTCTCCTGTTCGGAATTTTTTCTTTACATATCATTTCTGTTGTATAGTTATCGTTCGAATGCTCCTTTTTCTAGCTAGTTCATTCATTTATATAGTATTGGAGCGTTTACAAGAATCAATAATTCCAAAATGTCATGTTATCGATAGTGACCTAACGACATCAAACAAAAAGAAGATTCTTGCCATTCATTATAGTTATTGGCATACATATAGATGGAACTAAGTAGTTATAAAAAAACCTGACTTCGATTAGTAAATGTAAGCATGGAAAAATGAAGAACAAGAAAGAGATACAAAAAAATCAAAAAAGATTTGACATTATCTTTTCATTGTTTTCTTTGGCAAAAAATACTCTGTTCTAGTACAGAACATGCCAAATAAGAGGAATGAGTAAAAGAAGCAAAATGCAATGAAGAAAGGTTGTTAAATTGTTGTGCAAATGAAACTACTTTACCATTCGCACATCGATAGGCGAATCGATATAAACATAAATCGTTTTCTCTCTTTTTCAGTTCTCTCTTATATTTTTGTAAGTTTTAAGAAAACCTTTTCTTCTCTCTTTTATCCAACCTTAATATATATTTATATTTTTTGGTGAAACAAGAAATCGTTTATTCTTCACTTCTTCTTGTCAAAGTTTTTCCTATACAGCCGTCTCCAGAGTGTCATCGTATTGCATTTCTTATTCTTCATCATTACCAACAATAATCTCTATTGTGTGGTATAAAATCTTCCGATTTCTTGAGATTGAACGTTTTTCTTTCTAGTTATTGTTCTATCTGTCTCATTTAAATATGTATGCAGACGAGGGCAAGCAATTTTATTTATGATGGTGAAGATTAACAACAATCGGAGACGGTACAAGCGAGCCATGAAGAACGATAACATATAGAGAGAAAAAAAGACCGATAGGTATTTCTCTGACGGTCGAGCAGAGAGGACAACAGGTCATTTTCTTCCATTTCTATCCTATACATACAGGATATATGTATTTTAAAGGTGAACGTTGTACATTTAACGAGAAAGATTTTGTTCATTTTTTTCCATTCCATTCATTTTGCCTTACAATTGCTGTTGATCATAATAATACGATTGATTGTGAAAGCAAATGAACAGTGCGTTTCTTCGTCGCCTTCTTCTTCATTCTTAGTTTTTTTCCTTCTTCCGGTCTAAATCCTGAATATTACAAGTAACGAATAAAAAAAAGAATATCTCTTTAGTGTTGTAACACGACGTTTGTTGCTCTATCATTCTCTACTTTCTATCGTTAATCAAATTGAACTATAGTTAGCTATCCAAGTCACAATGCGCGCGTCACAGTGCATATATTTATATATATATATATTCATATATACGCTGGTTCTGGAAATTTTCTTCTCGTTCTTCATTTTTCTCTTTCGATTCAACCGGCATATATACCATCGAAGATATTTCATTCTGTAGTTTCATTCATTTCATTTCATTCCTATTTTTTCCCCTTCGTCCTCGTTCTCGTCTCTTTCCCCCCTTTTTTTTGGTCGAAACTAATCGATCGCCATTCTATATACTTTTTCAAGTAATGAATAAAATTTTGACATTTAACAAAATTTGAATTCTTCTCTTCCATTCCTAACTTGAACTTGTCCGATCATTTCTTTTTTTCTCTCTCTGCCTCATCGTCTTCTCTTTCTTTTTCCTACTATCCTATACCAGTATTATTCCTTGTTCAAAAAAAAAATAAAAAGAATTAACAAACTTCATATACATATATATATATATATAACCTACAAAGCACTTGTCGTATGTTATTTTTAGATTTTAAGAAATATTGAGAAAAGGCCAGACTAAAATTTCACTTTCTTGATAAATAAAACTTCTTGCAAACATGTCAACAGCCTATATTTGTCCAATGTGCGTTTTCAATTGTGACAATTTACCAGATTTAGAACAGCATCTTGAAGGTAAATTGATCAAAGAAAAGTCAAAAAGTTAAAAAAACAAAAAAATTAATTTTTTCTAGCTCATGAGAATAATTCAATTCAATCACCTGCTAAACAACAACAATCAAATAAATCTGTACGAAATAGTCCTCTGTATGCTAAATCTCAATCTGCACTTAATCTTGTTTGTTTTATTTAATTTAATTTAATTCTGTTTTATGTTAAACATTAAAATTTTCTAGCAGCAGCAACAACAACAACAAAATCGTTCTCCGATTAATAATTCGTCGAAACCATTGATTTCTTCACCAACTTGTTCATCTCCAAATAAAACCTATGATAGACGATATTCATGCAAATCGTGTCCATTCTCAACTCATAGTGTTAAAGCATATTTTAATCATCGACAGATGGCACACGGCGAACAACTCATCGTTACTGAATGTCCATATTGTGATTATGCTAGTCAATATCCTGGTAAAGTAAAAAAACATTTAACAGATGAACATCCATTACAACAGATATCAACTGGTATTTATTTGTTTTATATTTATTAGATAAATGAATATTTAATTATTATTTAGTCAAATCGCCAACTCAGTCGAATCGAACAACACTGCATGGAAATTCAATAAATAATACAATTGAACAAAATGCAATAAATAATAATGTTGAAAAAGCTATAACACGATTTACTGATTGTCCATTTTGTTCATTTACATCAGTTGATTCTGAAGCATTTCGTAAACATGTACTTACAAATCATTTAAGTGATAAAAATTTTCGTTGTCTTGTTTGTAATCGACTTTATCGATATCGAGGCGATTGTATGCTTAATTCAAAATAGATAACTCTCAATTCATATTTTTTTGTAAATTTAGGTTCGTTTCATATACGTAAGAAACATTCGGATCGTATGATTGGTGATAATATTGAATCACTACGTGAATATATTGGCGAATTTCAGCCTAATTCAATGACAGCAATAGAATTAAAAGAACTTTTGTCGTGTCCATTAACACCATCACTTGCATCGATACCATCGTTAAATGGAACACCTAATAATATTCGGCAATCATCAACGCCATTAATTCAATCTCAACAACCAAATCCTCCACATGCTTTTCGTTGTGGTTATTGTAAATTTTCGTCTGTTAATTCAGGTGACGTTAAAAAACATCAAACGTGGAAACATGCTGGTTTCGAATCGAACATTTTACCTATTGATCCTAATGATCCTCAACAACAGCCCATAGGATGTTATAAACGAAAAAGAGTTCATAGTACAAAATCAACTAGTAATGAAGATGATGGTCATACTATACGACGAGCAAGAATATCAATGCCATTACAACGAGAATTAATTGTTGATACATCTCAATCAGCAATGGTTTCAATAGCAAACACTGATAATGATCCAGTATCAGGAGGTTTGTTACTTATTAAAATTTTTCTTAAAATTCAATTGACATCAAGTCAAAATAAAGTTTGATAGTACAACAAAATAATAATTACGTTCTACAAAGAAATATTAGTCTTACGTGATCAATGATTCACTCATGCAGATCATTTTCTAAAAATAATTTTTTTTATTTGACAATAGAAAGGTCTATTTATAATTTGAATCAAAAATGAATTATTTTTAATATTTGGCACTGTTCTTACATGATGTATATACTATGCCCGAGCATAAACGAGATTTGTAGAAACATTCTATTGTATCTCGTTTATATAAATAAACCCAGAAATAATACACATATCATAGTCTTCTAAACATAGTAACTGTTTATTCGTGCTTGATTTGATAGCTTGTTATAGTTTATGCTGATGAAAATTATAATATGACTTAGAAATATGATCATATTTTACAAAAGAAAAAAAGAATAGACTTTATTTAAGAATTTCATTATTGAAATAGATCTTCTATCACCAAATGATCCTCGACCACCACCAGTCGATGGTGATCAGTTAGCAATGAAAACAACTAATAATCATTTATCTACCCAACATCAGATATTTGCTATTGGAGCATTATCATCTCGTGTTTATAAATGTACACGTTGTGAACGCTTAGCACCACATCGATGGATAATTGAACGTCATATACGCGCTAAACATCCGTCGGATTCAGATAATATGTCAAATGTTATAATTGAAATAGAAAAGCCATTGGCAACATCAACCAGTGGTGAACCAATGACAGCAACGAAATCTTCATCGGCAACATCTGATCAAGATTCTTTAACTTCAACAATACCAAAAGCTTTTTCATGTTCAGCATGTTCAATTCAATCTTATCATTTATGGGTTATTCTTCGACATATTCGAAATGTTCATCATACTGATGGGTCAAATGCAAAAATTATTGATAATATTAATAATCAAGTAAATTATATTTTATTTTCCATATTTCATTTATTATATTCATCTTTTTTTTTATTGAACAGATCATAGAAGATAGTGATGATCTTGAATCAGATACACCTGTTCATAATATATCGTCAAATACAATGACAATAACGTCAAATTCTAATGATGATCATAATAATAATAATAATAATAGCAACAATAAGTATAATGATGATAAAGATGAAACAAAAACTCAACAAAATAGTTTGAATAATGAAGAAATGCTTACACGTTTAATAAATACAGCTATGACAGCAAGAAAAATGAATGCTCCAAATTCATTTTTAGAAAATTTACCTACATCATTAATGAATAATAATGTTGCTGCAACACTTGCTACTCTTCTTGGACAATTAACTAGTAAGCAATTAACTCAACAACAACAACAACAACAACAACAACAACAACAACAACAACAACAGTGTCAAGGTGAAAAAGCACCATTAGCTAAACGATATAAATGCTCACTTTGTTCACACATATCTGCTTGGGGAGGTAAATAATAAAACAAATTCATAAGTTTTTAACTCTAAATAGCTTATAATGTGTTATTTGCTTCTTAATCAAAGGCAATGTTAAAAAGCATTTGAAACGGATGCATACAGGTGATGATGGAGGTTATGTGATTGATCTTGGTGTTGAATTAGCCAATAGTGGTGCTCACTTATCGACACAATTATCATTGATGTCAAATACAGAAGAACTGGATGAAGTAGACGAAAAACCAATGGTTAGTATGAATACAACGAAAATACGACCAACAAATGGGAATGGCTATCAATTATACCAAGACTTTTATCAGCAGGTATGCCAATAGATAATTGATAAAAGAAAATCAATTGAATAGATAGATATTCAAGAAAAAGAAATTTGTTAGTATATGTTTCAAACCAGAACTTGAATTCAATGCTCGACTCAGAAGTATAGCGTTTGATTTTTGAGATTTAAAACATACTATTTTCGATAATACTTGTATAAAATAAATTCAGAAGAGAGAAGAAAATGATTTTCATTTGTATTTCAACGTAAAAAGTATCTTCGTATAAATATTTATCACTAGTAAAATCATTGGTAATCGTCTTCCTATAACGACTTTGTATAGATTTTGAAAAGTAATGATGCGAAATTTGAATGTTTATAGAAATTTATATTCGCTTGATGTGTTCTGCCATCATGGATAATTTTATGAGGGATTGAGAACTAGACATGGTTTTTCAGTTCTCCTCTAATGCCGTAGTTGCTAAAAGTCTACTTTCATATTCATATCTGTCAACTAAACAGCGATCAAATTTAAGTTTCTTTGAGAATTCCTCGATTTGTGAAGAGATGAAATTTGTATTTGTTTCTTTTTACATTTATTTTTTAGTCATCTGAAATAGTCAATACAAAACTAAAAGATATTGATAATTCTCCTTCATTTGCTCCAATGTCATCAACTAATTCTTTTCAATCAACACGACCAGAACGTCTATATGGATGTTCTGTATGTTCATTTGAATGTACCAATCCAACAAATATTCATCGTCATGTTGAACTTCATTCTGGTGATGATGGTGGTGGTTTTCAGTGTTCACAATGTTTTTTCTTATCAAAATGGCGAGCAAGTATACGTAAACATATGATATCAGCACATGGTAGTAGTTTAGCTTCATTAACAAATGTTCTCGAACCATTGACACTTGTCAAATCTCATGATGCTACTGTTATTGTTAAAAAATGGTTAAGTATGTACAATTTTGTTTTTTGAGTTTTTCTTCTTCAAATCTAATGTATCTGTTTACTTTAATCTTAGTACATGAAAATGGTATTAAACATGAAGATGATCCAAATAATAATAATACACATACAATGGATGCATCCATATATTATTGTTCATTATGTCCATATACAAATAATAGTCGTTTATCATTTGAACAACATGTTATACATCATAGTTTACCTAAAACGAATGCAAATGTTTATACATGTACATTTTGTACGTTTAATAGCTATGAACAAGATTCTTTTGAAGATCATCAAATATTACATATTATGAAAGAAGATTTTCAACAAGATGCAACAGCTAATACTCTGGAAAACACAGTTATTTAAAAAAAACCTAAAAAATATGACTGTTTCTCTTCTTGTTTCTCTTCACTATATTTCATTTCTTTTGTATTTGTTTACTAAATCAATGCGATTTATGTCAGTTACCTATGTAAAAATATTCATCACTGCTGAATTCTTTCTTTTCGCAGTGTATATATATTCTCGTTTTATACCTTTCCATCGTCAAATTCGTAAATCGCCCTAGTCAGATGATGAAGAGACTTCGAAAGAAACATAAAATAACTTGATCATTGTCTGTATTATTTAATGATCTTTTTTTTTGTAAATGTTTGTCTGTGTTAGTTTTCTTTCTGTATTCTTTTGAAAGATAGTATATATCTTTCAATTTTCATGTTTTTTTTTTGCTTCACTGGCCATTCGCTTGGCCATCAAAGAAGTAGTTGGAAAAGAATAAAAACTAACAAGCAAAGATCGGTATTCTTCACATGTAAAAATAAATGAGGAAACATCGGATTCGCATCCGATTGTTATGTGTACTGCAAAAAACTGAGTCGATTTATATATGTTGTGAATAATTCTAATAAAAAAAATCCCTGAACCCCCCCCCC